TCATTCTCTCTCTCACTTGCTCCGGTTCGACACAAGTCCCGGTACTCTGTACTTCTCTCTGAGTCTTCTTCCTCTTTATCCAGTCTACTCAGCTGAGAAATCTGTTCTTTCAGTTCTCGTGCAGTTTTCAACATCTGTTCGATATCACCTCTTCGTCTATTCACCTCTTCTTCACCCACCCATGTATCCTGCAGCACGCCGTCTTTCTGCTGATACTGTACCTGCCCAGGCAGTTCCAACACTGGTGCCATTGTTTTTGGAGGGTTTTCATACGGTGGTGGGGCCGATGGCAGGGCTGGATACAACCGATTTGTTATCTTGGGTGGTGCTTTGTCTTCCCACATTTTCTTTAGTTTCTCCAACATAGCCAAACCAATCCGCTCCTTTAACCTGGCTTTCTCCATCGCGTCTTTGGACTTCCCTTTGAGGGGCTCTCCTTCCTCTTTCCACTCACTTACTGCCTTCTCTGTTCTCTTCTTCAGGGCTGTCAGTATTGTCCTCGGTTCTCCTTCCCCTGGGATTCCATTCATTGCCATTATCCATCCATCTGCTATCCATTCTTTGTATAACTTTTCTCCTCTCCTCTTCCATTCCTTCCCATCTTTTCCCCCATTTATCTCGAGGGTGGATTTCAACACTTTAATTACTTTATCTGTCATTTTTGCCAATGTTGTTGTATCTATACTTTTGTTTTAAGAACTTTATTATTTATTCTTAATTGTAATTTAAAACCTTACTGACTCCAATATTTTGTATAAAAAGTGGTTTTAATGTTAATGGTCTAATATTTTTAGTTTAAAACTCAAATGGGTATTAGTAATACCATTAGACCACTTTATTTAACTAAATGACCAAAAATGCTAATGTAAATATTCTCTACTTTATCTCTTCTTCTCCTGGTTATATAATACAGATATCCCCAGTCCTAACCCATCAATAATTGTTTGTATCAATCTAAATCACCCCCCTTCTCTCTCTCTCTTGACTCTTCAAAAGCCACACTCTCACTGTCTCCAGCCCCTCCCCTCGCAACTCTCTCTCCAGTGCTCGGGTGGGAGCAGGCTCCTTCGAGGAGCTGTGTTAGTGTTTCCAATATTCTGTGGTTATTTAAAGTATTTTAGTCTATTTATGTAAATCAAATCACTCCCACCTAATTAGTCAAAGCTGGTGCATGTTTATATTGAAACGATAAACCAAATTATTTCAGTCTAATTGTTTAACCAGTATTTTGCAGGGTCAAACGCCACAGTTCAATCATATCAGCTCAAACGTTTCAGTTCAGTCACACTAGTCATTCATCACTTTAGCTTTATGTTCCTAATTGTTATTAACGAGTTATATGGTTTAAGCAACCACAAACCCAACAGTTATCCCCAAATTTATACAGTTTGGACAGGCACAGACGTCTTTGATTCCCAATTAGTTTTCTATCAAGGTATACAGGTTTATCATTCACACTCTCATGCATACGTCACCCCTGTCTTAAAGAATTTTAAGTGTCTCCTTTGAACCTAGTCATATCTAGTCTGAACTGATATGTGCCATAGCGTCGCACTGCCTATTTATTTAAAGTACCTCCTATGGGTGTCTTTTGTTAACGTTTGCACAATTTAAACTTTATTTCCTAATTGTAATTCTCATTATTTACTGTTTTAAAATATTGTTTGTATTCTCAGCCAAAATGGTACACAGTTATTACACAGTTAAACGTAGTATACAGTTATCACACTCACTCACAATACACAGTCATAATCCTATCACAGTCATAAATGACACACTTAAACTCGACACACAATCGTAATTCTTTGTCACACAACTAAAGTTTCTTAGGACACACAGATAACAAAGGTATACAATGGGGCACACAGCCACCTCTACTATGGGGCACACAGCCACCTCTACTATGGGGCACACAGCCACCTCTACTATGGGGCACACAGCCACCTCTACTATGGGGCACACAGCCACCTCTACTATGGGGCACACAGCCACCTCTACTATTCCATGGGTTTAACCATCACAATTATCAAACATTTGCATAGTACATTATGAAATCGAAGTAGTATACTGTAATTGTTATTTATAGTAGAATAGGGTTCACTTACATCAAACAGGTGTTTCACAAAATTAATTTGGATAAAGCCAATGTGCAAAACTTCAGTTATATTACAATAGGTGTTTTGCTTACCTTTTTAGAAGCCCGGGCGATTTGTGAAACACATCGTTCGATGACAGTGATGTCCAATAGGCTGGGTGAATTCCAGCGAAGTTCCGCCACCAGATCACAGTCGGAGGTCACCAATTGTTAGAAATTGCGTAATTCAAATCTGGTATTGGAATAAGAATCAAGAGATCTTCAATCCAAGCTTAATTTATTATATGCAAAATGTATGTATGATAAGTATGAAGGTTCGTATATACGGGTCCACTGAAATACCACGCAGGGCACTCAGATAACTAGAATTATTGTTTACAGATTCTTTCTCAAATACACTGACAGAAAGCCTCCACCTCTTCTGTTGGCCAACCAGAGCAAAGGACTGAGTGTGGTCCAGACTCCATTCAGCCAATCCGTTGGCGCAGGGGCTGGTCCCAACTCCTCGGCACTCCATTTGTTGCCAGGCATAGTTGCTATGATAATAACCTGCGGAGTCAGCACCCAAAAAGACACCATTCCACTGTGCTCCATGTTCAAGGACAGTTTCACAGACTACAAAGAGAGAGTGTTCGTATCTGTAAGAAATTCAAGTCTTATCTGTCCTACCCCTAACGTTCCCCACATGAATAACAACAGCCTGTTATGTGAAACAATTTATATCAGTATAGTTCATTAATGCATTCCTTCCAAGCTATTCATCACATACAGATCCAATTATGAGAAAAATTAAACCCAACACTTGTCTACAACAACTCCATTCATATGAAACAGCCTACCCGTTGTTGATCATTATAGCCTAATTCCATTTAGCATTAATTAGAAATCTCCTACTTCACTTGCTACACATGGAGCCTCTAACGGTGGTGCCGCTTTGATTGACCGACAATAACAACAAGCTAACGTGTGTAGGCTACCGGTGCGCCTTTTTTTAATGGTGCAAAACATTTTGCTATGGTTTGCACTAATGAATACACCCCATTCCTTTTCTTTTAAATCCATCAATGGACGTGAACAAGTGGCGCAGGACAGATACTTGGGAGACAGGGCCTGTTGTGCTTGGGTAACTACCTTCAGAGACGTCTGTGAGCTGTGGGGTGGTAGCTCTGGATACGGAGAACCCTCCACTCTCCAAAATGGATGCTTCCTCGTCAGACAGCTCCGAGTCGGTGATGGCCATTGCCAGGGCTGTGGTCTTTGCATCCACCTGACCAATGACATAGCACAATTCAATTACATTTTCATTGTTCTTTAGTGAAAGGCTCTGGACAGAACCTATACTAGAGCCCAATTAAGGTTATTACAAAGTCAAGCCATAATATTGTCTTATCCTCTCAATTGTGAGGAAATGTCAACATTCAAATATTAATTTAACCACATTCTGTAAAAAACTAAAACAAAATATTTAGCCTTTCATTGAGGGGAATATCTTGGTTGAGTCAGAATAATCTCTCATTCCTCCTGAAGTGTGCGCTTGTTCTATTCCAGACATAAGCATTAGATTTATAGGCATGGGCTAGAGAGAGTTTCCATTACCATTAATTTCCTTTCAAATCCATAAGGGGAAGTGAACATGTGCACACTTCGGGAGAAAGGAAAGATTATTGGGATGCAACACTTGTGTAATTCTGAATCAGACAAACAATTGAATCAGCAAATTTATTAATTGACTAGCCCAAGGAATATGGTCGCTGGATCTTTCCCCCAGCCATCTCTCTTGTACGACACTACATTAGTGCACAACCCTCCAGGGTCACGAGGACTGCGGTTAATCCCATCACTTCTCATCTCCCACTCTAGCATACCACTGCTACCCCAATGGCCTAATGACCACTGACCACACAGTCTTGTTTAACTAACCTTGTGGGGGGACACAATTGATCCTATTCAAAATCCTATTTTCCCTAACCAATGTTCCTTCTAAGCTGTGCACGGGGCGCAGTAGCCCAGAAAATCCTGCGCAGCTCCCCCAGGACTGCTGTGCAGAACTCATCAAAGTAGGATTCTATTGCATTGACACGCTCGGCTACAGTCTGACTTCCTGAATTTGGTCAGTTCCCAACGTGCCACTGTAGCCTCCAAGTCCCAGAGGGCCACAGCCATATCAGCCACTAATGGGATCATTGCAGTTCTAAAGGCCTGGAACTGCAACTCCTCTGCTGAGGAGGTCCTCTCCTTAGGCATACTCAGCACAGGTAAGGGTCAAAAGTCAACATAGTGACAGTTGCAGATAGGAGGGAATAATACTAGTCTGGTCCCAGATCTGTTTGTGCAGACTTGCCAACTCCTACAGTCATTGACATGACTTAGCTAAAGAAAGACTGCATCATTAAGCCTGATCCCAGATCTGTTTGTGCTGTAACATTGGCATTGACAACAGCCATAGGATTTGGCTATTACAGCACCTAAAGATCTGGGACCAGGCTATGTAGACATTTTATATAATGTGTTTCAAGATAAGTTTCAATATCACATGCACAAGTAGAGTGAAATGCCTTTCTTGCAAGCTCTTAACCCAACAATAATAACATAACTAAAAAGAACATAAGATATAACAAAAACATACAAGAAATAGAAATAAGAAGAACACGAGAAAGTAAGTAAGCATACTAAATAAGTGCTGCCTATGAAGCCTAGAGCCTGTTTTCATAATGTGTCTCAGAGTATGAGTGCTGATCTAGGATCAGGTCCCGCCCCCTGTTCATTCATTATGATCTAAAACGTCAAACTGATCCTAGATCAGCACTCCTTCTCTAAGACATTTTATGAATACAGGCCCTGATATCTGTCTGCTCTTGGCCTCTCTGCAGGACAGTACAACCTCCCAGCTGTTGTAGTCTTCTCAATGCCAGTGAGCTTCCAGGATGGTAGATGGTCCGTGTTGTCTGATGTAATCATTGGTGATGAGAAGAGGGCCAAACTGCAGATTGCTGCAGACCAACTCAGGGAGGTGAGTATAGTAACTAGGCCACAGACACAGCAATCACATGGTGTCTCATGGCTTAGTATGCTTCTGTGCCAGTGTTTTTAGATTATTTTCCAGATGGGGTCAAATGCCCCCCAAATCAGCCTCCAGGGCCTCTAACATTTAAATTGAAACCAATTAAATCCAAAATATTTTTAGGAGGGAGGAACAGAGGTAAGTGTGTGTGTGTGTGTGTGTGTGTGTGGGGGGGGGACCTGATCTGTGCTAACGGTAGGGGAAACATTCCTTTGGATTCGTTGATTTTTCATGACCTTTTTATTGCAATGTAATGTTCATTTTGGGCTTATACTATTTTGTATACACTATCCATAGGAGAAAGATCTTGCATCAAGGACAAGAAAAGACACTGCATGAATTTATATTACTTTCTGAAGCTCTTCCTGTCGGAGTTGTAATATGTTTGTTAAAAATAAACAAAAATGCTGTTTTTACTTTTTGATAAAGACATCTGATATTTATTTGCACATTAAAGTTATTAAAGGTTGAATGTTTTACATTTTTGGTGACTAAATAAATACTGATGACCTCAATGAATTATATAATCATCACTGGACTTCTGGTTGCCCCTCTCCCCACTGTACCCTTCTTCCCCACTGCATCCTTCCCCTTCAACGTATTGTTTGAGCTATGAAGTTATTTTTACATAGTTCAAGCCATTCTCAGATTCCATGTCTGTTAGCCTTATGTAACTGGTGGGGTGTGAATCCCAAATCGGCCACATCAGACCTAAGGGCAAAGGCTGGAACTCCAAGGTTCTACAGTGCCTTGCAAAAGATTCATCCCCCTTGGTGTTTTTCCTATTTTGTTGCATTACAACCTGTAATTTAAATTTATTTTTATTTGGATTTAATGTAATGGACATACACAAAATAGTCCAAATTGGTGAAGTGAATCAAATAACTTCTTTCAGAAAAATCTAAAAAATAAATAACGGAAAAGCGGTGCGTGCATATGTATTCACCCCCTTTTCTATGAAGCCCCTAAATAGGATCTGGTGCAACCAATTACCTTCAGAAGTCACATAATTAGTTAAATAAAGTCCACCTGTGTGCAATCTAAGTGTCACATGATCTCAGTATGTATATATATATCTCTACTTTTGCATATTGGTGATACTTAATGTTATCAGATCTTCAACCAAAACCTAATATTAGATAAAAGGAACATAAGTGAACAAATAACACAACAATGACATATTTATTTCATTTATTTCATAAACAAAGTTACGCAACACCCAATTCCCCTGTGTGAAAAAGTAATTGCCCCCTTATACTCAATAACTGGTTGTGCCACCTTTAGCTGCAATGACTCCAATCAAATGCTTCCTGTAGTTGTTGATCAGTCTCAGATAATCAGATAATGATGTAATATTGATTTAGCCAATGAAATGCATGCGAAGACAAATTCCTCACGTGCCCTGAAGCTTTCTTTTCCCTCTCGCTCTCTCTCTCTCAACGGCTTGCTCGACTTCAGACGCTTACAAAAAGGCGCGTAGTACAGATTAAAGTTATTGTCAGATGTTTACAAGTGATCTTGATTAATTTACACGGCAACTCGATTTTAACATGAGGGAGATTGTTCATCTGCAGGCCGGTCAATGTGGAAATCAGATCGGTGCCAAGGTAAGGGCCATTTTTTATAAAAGTGTATTGCAAACTCAGTTGCATTTTTCAAAGTAACTAACTAGCTAGCTAAAGTTAGCAAACTTTGTGTTGCTAGCCTGCTCATAAGGTAACTCAAAACTAAAGTATTTGTTAGTTAGCTAGCTAACGTTAGCTTTGGTTATCTCAAATATGTGGTTGATATGAAGAGTAAAATTCGGTCAACTTTAGATGGCGGCTCAGCTAGCTCCTAACGTTAGCTTGCTAGCTATAATGCTATGAGAAACTTTTACGTGCCCACATGCCACTAACCACTCCGTCATACTTTTGCAGTTTTGGGAGGTAATCAGTGACGAGCATGGAATAGACCCAACAGGCACTTACCATGGAGATAGCGATCTGCAGCTTGAGAGAATCAATGTGTACTACAATGAGGCAACAGGTAACTTACTGGAAATGATCCTCTATGTACATAGGTAGCTAACTAAATTGTGACATTTTGATTTATTCTGAAGATTTAATGACAAAGTAATAATACAATTTAAAGGAGCTAGTTGAAGTGTTTTTAAAGTGTATTTGCGCTTGCAGTAGTGTCAAGTCTTCAAAAAAGTATGCCGTGTTCTCTTTAACTAAAGCCTTTGCAGACTGTATGTTGGATTCAGTCTTAAGATTCACAGTCACAATTAAAATATTGATATCAACCTGTCCAGATTGTAGGATTTGCTTCTGTTCTGTAGTCACATTCCGCAATTGGCTTCAAGTCAACAGCAGCAGTGTATTTGATCTCAAGTAGCAGCACTTAAATCGGCAGACCTAGGCCCTGTCACACTGAAAGAGCCAAGAAGTTCGACAATCGTTTATGACCTAAGAATTTCACACGATGTGGACATTTTGTCTGGGACAGAAAAATTGTGGCATAAGAAGCCTAAAATCATACAGTCTGCAAGGGTCTTAACCTCTAAAGGATCGGACCATTTAAAAAAAAAAAAATGTTCGCCTAAAATGACATACCCAAATCTAACTGCCTGTTGTTCAGGACCTGAAGCAAGGATATGCATATTCTTGAAACCATTTGAAAGGAAACACTTTGAAGTTTGTGGAAATGTGAAATTAATGTAGGAGAATAACACATTAGATCTGGTCTAAGATAATACAAACAAAAAACATCTGTTTTCTATTGATTTTTTTGTTCCATGCAAGAGAAAGGCCACAATATAATATAGAAGTTTAGGCGCAATTTAGAGTTTGGCCACTAGATGGCACCAGTGTGTGCGCAAAGTTTCAGATTGATCCAGTGAAGCGTTGCAATACTGGACTATTTTGTATCAAGTCTGCCCAAATGTGCCGAATTGGTCAATTGATACATTTGGGTACACAACTATATAGAGAACATACATTTTGTATTACCATATCATTTTTGTAAGTTTACACACTCCCAGGAATGTCATACATGATGCATCATTAGCTTATACACTAACTTTCACACATCTAGATGGCCGGGCAGGGTGGGTGTGGAGCCAGAGACAGCAGGGGTTCAAACTGTAGAGCCCAGTTCCTACATTTGAATATAAAAATGGATTTGATCAAACAAAACTATGCTACATTTTATCTCTGGGACTGATCTTTAGATAACTGAATGTAAGTACATTGTTTACCTTTAGAGGTGAATGTATCAAACCAGTTGCCGTGATACGTTTTTTTGTTGTTGTTGTGCACTCTCCTCAAACAATAGCATGGTATTTTTTCCCACTGTAACAGCTACTGTAAATTGGACAGTGCCGTTAGATTAACAATCATTTAAGCTTTCTGCCCATATAAGACATGTCTATGTCCTGGAAAGTTTGCTGTTACTTACAATAGTCATGCTAATCACATTAGCGCATGTTAGCTCAACCGTCCCGTATACAGGACAGCGATCCAGTAGAGGTTAACCAGGTTTCCATCCAACCTTTTTACGCAAGTAAAGTACATGTCATGACAGGCCTGATAGGAACAGAATTTGTCGGTAAACTTACCAAATGCTGACCAAACAAAATATGCTAGACGAGTTGATCTTTTTGTGTTGGTAAAATTCATTATGCTTGAAATGGCGGTGGAAACGCCTTTGAGCAAATATTGATATAATAACCATCATATCGAAGTAAACTTGGGAGTCTCACGATATGGTGTGTGGTCTCCCACTACGACTCAAGAGAAACAATGCCATTTATTAGGCTACAGATGAGATCTTGTTGATCCTTTCCAATAAATATCGAAGGTCTGATTCTGGTGAGTTGATGCTTGACAAATACAAATATTCTCGCTCTTATCCATAATAAAGCTTATCATGTAGACTAGCCTACCCGCACTGTATCTGCAAGCTGGTGGCTAGAGCGCACGTGCCAAGACCAGAGTAGGCACATTTTGCTATTTAACGCAAGTTTGTGACAAAACTATCGGTAGAGTTTAAAATGCGATAGAAACACATTGAACTTTAGATTTTTATTCGGTATATGAAAACTTAAGTGAAAAAGTAAAATTTGTGCACTACGTTATCACACACTAATTTTTATCCGCAACAAGTCCATTTGGTGGGAACACACCAATGGTGGGAAAATGCGCATATTTTCTTTATGCGGATTTTAGAATATTCACATGAAAATCTGTTGCAAATTGGATGGAAATGTAGCTACTGACCCATAATGTGATTGTTCATTTATTTCAGGTGGCAAGTATGTTCCTCGTGCCGTTCTAGTTGATCTGGAGCCTGGCACCATGGACTCTGTCCGGTCTGGACCATTTGGCCAAATATTCAGACCGGACAACTTTGTCTTTGGTGAGCAAATGCTTTGAAATTGCAAATTCATGCTACCATGTCATAGTCGATTTTACCATAGTAATACGCCTAGCCTACATCTCATGGCGTGCTTTTTGTTGTTTGTTTAAAGGACAGAGTGGTGCAGGTAACAACTGGGCAAAGGGCCATTACACTGAGGGAGCAGAGCTGGTAGACTCTGTCCTGGACGTGGTAAGAAAGGAAGCCGAGAGCTGCGACTGTCTTCAGGGCTTCCAGCTCACCCACTCCCTTGGAGGCGGCACAGGCTCTGGCATGGGTACCCTAATGATTAGCAAGATCCGTGAGGAGTACCCTGACCGCATCATGAACACCTTCAGTGTGGTGCCCTCCCCCAAAGTGTCAGACACCGTGGTGGAGCCCTACAATGCCACCCTGTCTGTGCATCAGCTAGTGGAGAACACTGACGAGACCTTTTGCATCGACAACGAGGCCTTGTATGACATCTGCTTTCGCACCCTGAAGCTGACGACGCCCACTTACGGGGACCTCAACCACCTGGTGTCAGCCACCATGAGTGGTGTCACCACCTGCCTGCGTTTCCCCGGCCAGCTCAACGCTGACCTGCGTAAGCTAGCTGTCAACATGGTCCCATTCCCCCGCCTGCATTTCTTCATGCCAGGCTTTGCCCCCCTCACCAGCAGAGGTAGCCAGCAGTACAGAGCGCTGACGGTGCCCGAACTCACTCAGCAGATGTTCGATGCCAAGAACATGATGGCCGCCTGCGACCCCCGCCACGGCCGCTACCTCACTGTGGCCGCCATCTTCCGCGGGCGCATGTCCATGAAGGAGGTGGATGAGCAGATGCTGAACGTGCAGAACAAGAACAGCAGCTACTTTGTCGAATGGATCCCCAACAATGTCAAGACTGCAGTCTGCGACATCCCGCCCCGTGGCCTCAAGATGGCTGCCACCTTCATCGGCAACAGCACGGCCATCCAGGAGCTGTTCAAGCGCATCTCTGAGCAGTTCACAGCCATGTTCCGACGTAAGGCCTTCCTGCACTGGTACACCGGAGAGGGCATGGATGAGATGGAGTTCACAGAGGCCGAGAGCAACATGAACGACCTGGTGTCCGAGTACCAGCAGTACCAGGACGCCACCGCTGAGGAGGAGGGCGAGTTTGAGGAGGAGGGAGAAGAGGATATGGGTTAAACTAAAATCAATTTCAACTGCAATCCATCCCTTTTGTTTCAGGTTGTTCTTTTATTCTCTTTCACTGCACAAGGAGCTGCTGTCAGTGTTTAACCTGTTGTAATTGCAATAAATCTTATCAGCATTTAAAAACTTGTTTGTGTTCCTTTTGTAGATGTACATTTCTGAAAAACAGGAGAAATTGGAAAATAGATCTTCCTTTACTATAGTACAGTTCTTGTCAAGTGCCTTTATAGATCAAGAAGCAGTAAAAGCATAAACAAACACATTTCTACAATACATAATTTGTTAATATAATCTTGAAATGATTCCATCATGTCTTTTTATAGTTGGTTACATTGGGATTATAGCAAAAGAAATGACCTTTTTAAATGAATCACACTTGGAAGAAATTGAATTAATGTCATTGGCAATTTAGTGTTGTAGGAATTCTATTTTAAGGGACATTGGTTTAATAAAAGCTGCAACATACAAATTGTATGCTTGCTACAAGTCTACGGTCTTGCTCCCTCCAAGTTTGGAGAGGACAATGCATTTTTTATGCTTGGTTTTCACATGCAATGTTACAAATTACTCTTGTTTTGAAGGAAACTTTCTACAGAGAAGTGCTCGGAAGGCATTGGCCAGGAAAAAGGTTGGTCTATATTACAACACAGTGCACAGGGACAACTTGGGTTGGGGAACTTTAAGCTAGACATTGGTGGCCACCATTTTCTACTTCACATTAATTTGCGTCTACATATTAGTTTCTATGTGCAATGGTCTCTTCCATTGCGCAAACTAAAGTACATCCCACTCCTGAGATTTTCAAGTAGTACAAATATATGGACTTAAGCAATTGGTGGTGAAGGAGCACTTGCATTCATTTACAAACATTACAGAATACAACTAACAAAATATAGACCTTGGAGATGTTGACGATGAGCAATTGAAAAGGTTGTCAGCATACCACAGTAAGTTTTGTATGGGTAAATAAATATTTTATACCATCACCTGTTTTGAGATTTTTTAAATGTCCAATACACACCAAAATTTAAATATCTTATTGTTTGGGAGATTTCACAATTTTGCAGAATGTGGAACTTACTTGAGGGGTTGCTGATCATTAAACTGCCTTCAATGAAACTCCCAAACGTAAGTGTTTGTGCCTACATGAAAACATTTGTGTTTTGCTAAAGATCTAAATTCAATGTAGATTGTAGAATCGACTTGGGTTACTGACCATAGAGAATCTTTATTACTTTCAAATTCCTGCATGATGACAATAGATTTCCATTAAACTGACTGTTAAATTAAATAATTTATATAATATATATTAATAGCTATAATCAAAACCTTTTCTTTCTCTCAAAGAATCCATCCACATATAACCTCTGTTAATAATTTCCTTTGAGAAGGGTGGGTGTAGATCTGGACCATATATCCTGGTCCCATTGCAGATTGTGCTGAAATATACCCAAATCCATTTGGCATTACAACATACAGCACAAACAGATCCGGGACGAGGCTCCACCAAACCCTTCTCCTGCCATCCAAACACATATTACTAGTAGTTCCCAAAACTCAGATGGCTTGTTCCCTTGGTTTAAAGCAATAAAACCCTGTCAAACACAGGTGCCATCAAGCCCAAGCCTCGAGAAACAAGGTTCTTTCCAAATGGCACCCTATTCCATCTATAGTGCACTACTTTTGACCAGAGCCCTATGGGTCCTGGTCAAAAGTAGAGCACTATAAAGGGAATAGGGTGCCATTCAGGACTTAACCACAGTGATAGTGTGAAGGCAGAATCAACCACAGTGATCTCAATCACTAACCAACTGCCACTAACCACAGACACTTTGATAAGTGTACATACACTACCAGTCAAAAGTTTAGACACACCTATTAATTCAAGGGTTTTTCTTTATTTTTACATTGTAGAATAATAGTGAAGACATCAAAACTATTAAATAACACATATGGAATAATGTAGTAACCAAGAAAGTGTTAAACAAATCAAAATATATTTTATATTTGAGATTCTTCAAATAGCCACCCTTCGCCTTGATGACAGCTTTGCACAATCTGGGCATTCTCTCAACCAGCTTCATGAGGTAGTCGCCTGGAATGCATTTCAATTAACAGGTGTGCCTTTTTAAAGTTAACTTGTGGAATTTCTTTCCTTCTTAATGTGTTTGAGCCAATCAGTTGTGTTGTGACAAGGTAGGGGGGTATATAGAAGATAGCCCTATTTGGTAAAAGACCAAGCCCATATTATGGCAAGAACAGCTCAAATAAGCAAAGAGAAACGACAGTCCATCATTAGTTTAATACATGAAGGTCAGTCAATACGGAACATTTCAAGAACTTTGAAAGTTTCTTCAAGTGCAGTCGCAAAAACTATCAAGTGCTATGATGAAACTGGCTCTCATGAGAACCACCACAGGAATGGAAGACCCAGAGTTACCTCTGGTGCAGAGGATAAGTTCATTAAAGTTACCAGCCTCAGAAATTGCAGGCCAAATAAATGCTTCACAGAGTTCAAGTCACAGACGCATCTCAACATCAACTGTTCAGAGGGGACCGTGTCAATCAGGCCTTCATGGTCGAATTCCTGCAAAGAAACCCCTACTAAAGGACACCAATAATAAGAAGAGACCTGCTTGGGCCAAGCAACATGAGCAATGGACAGTAGACCAGTGGAAATGTGTCCTTTGGTCTGGAGTCCAAAGTTGAGATTTTTGGTTCCAACCGCCGTGTCTTTGTGAGACGCAGTGTGAGTGAACGGATGATCTCCGCATGTGTAGTTCCCACCATAAAGCATGGAGGTGGTGTTATGTTGTGGGGGTGCTTTGCTGCTGACACTGTCAGTGATTTATTTAGAATTCAAGGCACACTTAACCAGCATGGCTACCACAGTATTCTGCAGCGATACGCCATCCCATCTGGTTTGGGCTTAGTGGGACTATCATTTGTTTTTTAACAGGACAATGACCCAACACACCTCCAGGCTGTGTAAGGGCTATTTTACCAAAAAGGTGAGCGATGGAGTGCTGCATCAGATGACCTGGCCTCCACAATCCGCATATGTGGGAACTCCTTCAAGACTGTTGGAAAAGCATTCCAGGTGAAGCTGGTTGAGAGAATGCCAAGAGTGTGAAAAGCTGTCATCAAGGCAAACGATGGCTATTTGAAGAATCTCAAATATAAAATATATTTAGAATTGTGTAAGACTTTTTTGGTTACTACATGATTCCGTATGTGTTATTTCATAGTTTTGATGTCTTCACTATTATTCTACAATGTAGAAAACAGTACAAATAAAGAAAACCCCTTGAATGAGTAGGCGTGTCCAAACTTTTGACTGGTACTGTATATATCTGTATAATGTATATCTACATAAAACAAAACAGTTGGGAATGAGCGGTGATGAGGATGCTAGAAGGACTCCGGTTGGTGCGTTGGAGATGGGTGTGTGTCTGTGGGAGAGGCCACTCCCACTACCCCCTGTCCATCAGGACTGAGAAGACCCAGCAGGTCCTCGTCCATCTGCTCCAGTTCACTTTGGTCCAAAATCTCAAAGTCCTCTTCCTCGGTCGGTACAAACGTGTCGTCCGGCATCTCCTCGGCACTCCTCTCCTCGGTCTCCGCAGTGACCGCATCCTGGTCCTTTTCTGCCTCGGCGACAGGGGCGGGGGGGCTTTCCAGGGCGCTGGGGGGCGTGTCGGTGGGCAGGAAATCTGCAATGGAGGGGCCCTTGCTGGCCTCAGTGGAGCGCAGCAGGGCCGACAGAGTGTTCTGCACCACGGTGGAGATTGCCGTGTTCACGATCTCCTCACTCAGGGCTTCCAGTGACTGCCTCGGGGCCTGGGACTCCCTTTCCCCCCCATCCACCACCTCCTCCACTCTCCCAGCCCCCAGCAGTGGTCCCTGGTCCCCACCTGGCGGCCGTCTATGTCCGTTGAAGTGTGTGTTGACAAAGTGGAGCGGGGAGGCCAGGTGCTGGATGAGGAGGCTGGCCGGGCTCATGGGCTCCCCCTTCGAGGGCTCTCCTCCCCCAGCCGCAGCCCCGTGCCCTTGGCCCTGACTGGGGCCCCGTAACGGGAAGTGGAGGAGGCTGTGCTCGATGGAGGGGAACTCGTCAACTGAGGGGAATTCAGGCAGGTCCCTTAGGAAGGCCTCCTCTGGGTCACTGTGCACACTCTGCTGGTCCAGGTCTAAACAGTCACAGGAGAGGAAGAGGATGGGGTTAAAGGTAGTCAGCGATGCATGAAGTAAATCGCAATATTGGGTTGCCTTCTAAAAGTGTGAATCGCAAGGCTGAACTTCTCTGCCGTTTTGGTCCAGCAGCTGTCACATTGCAGCAGCGTGAAGCTCACCTGCACATGGCCAGATCTTTTTTGCGAGTGAAGATCTACAATATCTGCAGTTCATCCTGCTGCTTGTGGCAACGCCATGTCGCTGAGTCTCAGTTTAATATGCAGAGAAAATGTAATTCTAATATATAGTGAATGAGGAAGGAGTCAACAGCACATCAAAATAATGACAAATCAAAATTTGCTAGTGCCAATATTTGATTCACATGATTTGGACTGTGGAACACATGCTGCTCAATTATAGAAATCCCTGCAGTCCAATTCTGTCCTTTCTCCTCCGCACACATGTAAAAGCATCAGATTGATGTAAGAGGTATGTCTCACATTGGGTTATATGCTAGGGATGGGCATTTGAAATTATTTCACTATTAGAATAATATATTTCTTTCGGATAGTCAAAATACAATGTTTGAAAGATTGTTTTTTCAACTTCAATGGAGACTTGCTCGTGTAACTCGAGAGAGAGCTTGTGTGCTGTGCTCTGCTTGGAAGGGTGGGGGAGAGGGGAGCAGGGGCCGGTATGTGTGACACGGAGGGAGAGAGAGAGAAAGTTGCCAAACCAACTCGCGCTAGTTAGACAAACTTGTTGCTACCATAGGTTATCTATCATACCATCTGCTAGTGCCAGTCTTGAATGCATCAAATCTTTGTAAAAAAGCTAGCTAGCTACAGTAGCCAGCTAAGTTAGCCAGCTAGCTAACTAAAGTAGCAAGGCTAATTGATGCATCCTTGTCTACAACAACTCCATTCATATGAAACAGCCTACCCGTTGTTGATCATTATAGCCTAATTCCATTTAGCATTAATTAGAAATCTCCTACTTCACTTGCTACACATGGAGCCTCTAACGGTGGTGCCGCTTTGATTGACCGACAATAACAACAAGCTAACGTGTGTAGGCTACCGGTGCGCCTTTTCTTAATGGTGCAAAACATTTTGCTATGGTTTGCACTAATGAATACACCCCATTCCTTTTCTTTTAAATCCATCAATGGACGTGAACAAGTGGCGCAGGACAGATACTTGGGAGGCAGGGCCTGTTGTGCTTGGGTAACTACCTTCAGAGACGTCTGTGAGCTGTGGGGTGGTAGCTCTGGATACGGAGAACCCTCCACTCTCCAAAATGGATGCTTCCTCGTCAGACAGCTCCGAGTCGGTGATGGCCATTGCCAGGGCTGTGGTCTTTGCATCCACCTGACCAATGACATAGCACAATTCAATTACATTATCATTGTTCTTTAGTGAAAGGCTCTCAACAGAACCTATACTAGAGCCCAATTAAGGTTATTACAAAGTCAAGCCATAATATTGTCTTATCCTCTCAATTGTGAGGAAATGTCAACATTCAAATATTAATTGAACCACATTCTGTAAAAAACTAAAACAAAATATTTAGCCTTTCATTGAGGGGAATATCTTGGTTGAGTCAGAATAATCTCTCATTCCTCCTGAAGTGTGCGCTTGTTCTATTCCAGACATAAGCATTGGATTTATAGGCATGGGCTAGAGGGAGTTTCCATTACCATTAATTTCCTTTCAAACCCATAAGGGGAAGTGAACATGTGCACACTTCGGGAGAAAGGAAAGATTATTGGGATGCAACACTAGTGTAATTCTGAATCAGACAAACAATTGAAATCAGCAAATTTATTAATTGACTAGCCCAAGGAATATGGTCGCTGGATCTTTCCCCCAGCCATCTCTCTTGTACGACACTACATTAGTGCACAACCCTCCAGGGTCACGAGGACTGCGGTTAATCCCATCACTTCTCATCTCCCACTCTAGCATACCACTGCTACCCCAATGGCCTAATGACCACTGACCACACAGTCTTGTTTAACTAACCTTGTGGGGGGACACAATTGATCCTATTCAAAATCCTATTTTCCCTAACCAATGTTCCTTCTAAGCTGTGCACGGGGCGCAGTAGCCCAGAAAATCCTGCGCAGCTCCCCCAGGACTGCTGTGCAGAACTCATCAAAGTAGGATTCTATTGCATTGACACGCTCGACTCAGTCCGTACTCTACACAGACCGGTGCAGCATAACCAATCAGAGCTGCAGTAAGCCTATATGCAAATAGACCATTGCCATATATGGATTTGTGCTATTTACTTTGAACTGAACTGTATTTACAGCATAAGCGGTCGTGAGATCAAAGCGAGAGCTGCATGTAGCCACGTGTGCACATTTTGTTCATATCCTTTTCTAGTTAGTGAGTTATTAGCCCAGTTATAGATCATTTGTAGTCAGCAATAGGAGAGTGATTGCTTCCTAAAAGAGCACAAAACATGCACATTTCTAGACATCTTTGAAAAGCAAGTCAGGTAAAGAGCTTTATTTTGTCTTAAAGGGGCAGTGTTGTATTTTGAGGCAGGCTTGAATAAGCTAAGAAGCCAATAGGCAGAGGGTAGCATAATTTGTCTGATCCTCTGTAATAATGGTATGGGAATAATAATGCATATCTTGTAAAGTGGTTTATTGCATCAAACAACATTTTTCAGTCACTTCCTTGTCTGAGTGGATAAAGGTTAATGTCAAGCCCTGCATGTTTTTTTTCCATAAATCTCATGGAATGTAGGCCTACATTGAACACCACACATTGGCTGCTACTGTAGGCTGAACGATAGAACATCTATTTCCATGTTAAAATGTTTTGGGATGCATTTTCTCCATTGTTTTTGATGGTAGGCCACTCGAGTAGGACTACATTATGATCAAATAGCCACAGTAGCCTACTTGACCACTGTTAAAACTAACTTAAAGCGGGTACAGCCTCACTGTTCACAGTAAGGCACTGGAAGTTGCACAGAATTTTCACAACGTTCAAGTTTGCGCTCAGCAGATCTTACATTTGCTCAGTGACCCCCAAAAAATTAGAGGGAACATTGCACCTAAACCTAATTCTAACTTTAACCCCCTAGAAATAGCCTTTTTCCCTTGTGGGGGCCGACAAAATGTCCCCAGTTGGTCCCCCCAAAAATCTGGTCCCCACATGTATAGGTACATATGTCCACACACACACAATCCTAGTGCCCTGGTGAAAGATGGCAGACGATGTGGTATTACCAGCGGGGCAAAGCAGGACAGCTCCTCCTCGCTCTCGCTCTCCGTCTCAGCCCTGGGCTCATCCCCTTCCTCCACCTCCTTCTTCACCTCTGCAACACACGCACACAGTTTAGGTAACTGCAGGATCCAAGAAGTTGAATTTTAATGCCACTTGGCGTACAATTTAATACACATTTTGAGGTCTGCGTGCACCACACCTGCTAATATTCTTCTCAAGAAATGAGCCCATGTTAGCAAAAAGTATTTCACCAAAGGAGTGGGGCTGGAACAAAAGTCTACACACACACAGTAGCTCTTCTGGAGGTATGCTATAACATTAGAACATTAGCCTACAACCAAAAAGTCTAATAAAATAATTCCCTCATTCAGTGAATCAGGTATCAAATAGCTATACTTCGAAGCAAGGTAGCTAAGTGAGAGAGCTCTAGACTGACTTTTTCCAGTGCCAAGTAAATAAGTTTGCCATTTCATCTAACATTTTCAGGGAGTGCATGATGGATATTTTGATGTGCAACATGTCAAAATAGGATCCAGAATAATTAGATATATTTTTGGCTCTTTAGAGATTAATTTGCCTGTATATTTTGTGTGCATATTGGCCAAGGCTATAGCCTATGCTACAGAATTTACCAACGAAGGAAGAGGGAACTCAAAACACATTAGCTAGATTGCTAAATCTAAATATGATATTGTTTATTTAGCCATGCAATTGATCTAACAGTAAATGTAATGTCCTACAAAAACCTTCCATTGGTAGCCTATATAGGCTACTTGATGTATTGACCGCAAATGGTGCGCTCCACTCCGTTGGCGAATCATCTCAATTACATACTGCGTTTGTAAAGGGATGTTTTTTCCTCAATATTGACAGTTGAGAAATAGTTGTTACTCAAATACAACTGAGAGACTTATTTTTCAACAAGAGTAACAGTAGTTGTTTGAAAAACTGTCTTTCCCGTAATTATATTTCAAAATGTTGCTCAACTGTCAGTATGCTTGCGCTTATCAGAATGCATAACTCCCTTCACTCCATGTGCAAAGAGGGGAGTGGGAGGGACCGTTGTCCCTCCGACCCATAATAAATACGAAATACATGTGAATAGATCTTGAAAGTGCGCCTAGAGTATTATTTGACGTTCAATTTTGTTTGTTTTTCCGCGGTGGCAACAATTAAGCAGCTGCACAATATAACGGAAACACTGTAGTCATCTCTGTTGCATTTTTTAAGACCTTTGAAAGCGCAATTTAAGACATTTTAAGACTTATTAAGGCCTTTTAGGATCCGCGGACACCCCGAGTTTAACAAGAGGCACACAACAAGCCATTCATTTAAATGTCTGAAAATAAATTAGCTCCAGCTGCCACACCAGTACCACAAACCCAGTACCACAAACCGGGAGGAGAACGATTTCCCAGGCAACCCTGACGTTCAGTGTTCACAGCTAGAGAGAGTGGACCTGGTGACGTGACGTGAATGATGGCAAGGCACACACACACACCATCAAACACACACACCTACACACCATCAAACCCACACTAACAGACAATGCGCACACACACACAGTGTAAACTCACTCCTCTTATCGTGCTTGCGGTGCTGCGTGTCTCCCTTCATGCTGTAGTCCAGTTTCATCAGGATGGGCTCCAGGCCTGTGTACATCCGCTGGATCAGCTCATGGTACACCACCAGTGGCCACACCAACACACTCAGCGCTGGGCACAGGACAAAAAAACAACCCCAACATGGCACTTAAATGGCTTTTGACGCACCACGACAAGCTCTGCGTCCCAAATGGCACCCTCTTGCCTACATAGTGCACTACTTTTGACCAGGGCCCATAGAGTTCTGTTTAAAAAAATAGTGCACTATATAGGGAATGGGGTGCCATTTGGAACACACACAATCTTTAGTTTAACCAGAGAAAGCAGTCATAGAAACAAACAACACATATATGCCATTGAGGAGGGATATACCTCAGGGTCATATTAATTAGTGAACACTGTAGCAAAACATTTTGCAACAGAAACCATTTACTCTAAATGCTACAACTTGGCGTAAGCGGTTCCCATTGCAAAATGTTTGGCTACTGTGTGCCCTATTGACTACGACCCTGGAATACTGAGTGTCACACATTGCCAAATCACAATACATTTCTAGGTTGGGGAATGGCAACACTATGAATGGTGGTATGAAGGTTGCATTTAGAAGTTATTGGCAATAACTTTGGTTGACAATTGTTATGCAGTAGCACTGCATTTCTTACAGACAACCACACCCTTTGGCATACTGGTTGGTTGGTTGCCTTTGTGAAAATCAAGGAAAAAGGGATTGAAAAAGCAAGGCAGCTCACCGATGATATAGGATATCATGATTCCTGGTACGTAGTGTCCCACCACGGCTAGCACAGAACAGCCAGAGCACATCATGGCACAGAACTGGAGGGAGAAAAGAGACGCAGTGTCATTAAACCTGCAAGTTGGCTGAAACTAGTGTAGGGGAGGGACAACTACTTCAGCATCAGCAAATACCTCTTCAGATCAGAGGAGGTTGGTGAGAGGAGCTTTAGGAGGACGGGCTCATTGTAATGGCTGGAATGGGATTAATGCAACGGTATCAAAAATATGGAAACCACATGTTTGAGTCCGTTCCATGAATTCCATTCTAGCCATTACAATGAGCTAGTCCTTCTACAGCTCCTCCCGCCAGCCTCCTCTGCTTCAGATATACTAAAAATCTATGCAACTCAAGCGATTACATTTTTTGATAAACCATGACTTTGAGGCACTTTATAATATAACAATATGGTAATTTAGCAGTTGCTTTAATACACGTCGACCTAAAGATAACAAATGACATGATCAGTATATGTGGCCCACGTGGAAATCAAACCAACATCCCTGATGTTGGAGGCAATGTGCTCTAACCCGCAGAGCCACCATCAAACCCAACATACCTTTCTGTGGTTCTGCCTTTTGTACTGCAGCATCTCCTGGATGTAGAGGCAGCAGTAGAGGTAGCTCTCCGCCAGGTGGTGGCTGAGCTCTGGAATGCTGAGGAGCCGGGGTTGCACATTCATGGTCTCTCTGCAGTCAGAGAAAGAGACCGTGGGATGAACAAATGAACACAATCAGTACTAAGCCAGACCTAAAAGGCTTCAAGCGTCTCAGAGTACGAGTGTTGATCTAGGATTCAGTTTAGCCTTTTAGGTAATAAAGAATCAGATTATTATGGACAGGGCAGACCTTATCCTAGATCAGCTCTCCTACTACTCTTTATAAATATGTGCCCTGGTGCTATTGACAGGCACAGACCATCAAACAAGTAGGAAAAAAATGCCTGAATAATCACATGATAGTCACTATAACAGTAAAGTGCTTGAAGGGGTTATAGGAGCAGGGTGGGTTTGGATGTGTTTAAAGGCCCAGTGCAGTCAAAAACACGATTGTCCTGTGTTTTATATACATTTCCACACTATGAGGTTGGAATAATACTGTGAAATTGTGAAAATGATGATAATGCCCTTTTAGTGTAAGAGCTGTTTGAAAAGACAGCCTGCAATTTCAGCCTGTTTTGGTGGGATGGAGTTTTGGCCTTCCATGGTGACATCACCATGCAGTAAATTAGTTAATAGCCCAATAAGAAAGAGCATTCCAAACCTCTCGGCCAATAACAGCTAATGTTCAATTTTCCCCTCCCTACTCAGACCACTCACAGACAGTCCTAGCAAAAGTCTTGCTTGAGAAACTGCCCTTTGCTAAGAAGCTATTTTTGTTTCTTTCTGACAATTTTAATTGAAAACAATCAAGGTACTTAATTGTTACCCAGAAATGATTTGATAATTAGATAAAAATGGCTGCATTGGACCTTTAATTGAGTCAAGATGTGTACCTTTCCATTGGGTTGGCCTCAGGATACTGAACTGTAGTGGAGAGAATAAACAGGAGTCCAACAACATCAACAAGACATTTTAGATTTCATAGAGTAGGCATGGTAATCAAAGTAATCTGAACAATGACATGTAAAATCAAATCCAAATTGAAATCCACAACACTCAACTATCTTATCAAATCGTGAAATATACCAGCCATTCATGTTTCAGACTGACCCCAGGGCCAGGAGTGGGTGTGGCAAGAGTAATGCATGTACCTACTATGAACTTACTTACCAGTTGTAAGAGGTAACTTATCCTTCCATCTCTCCAGCAGCATGAGCCCTAGAATGGAAAGACTCAGGAGGAAGAGAGGACGGAGGGACGTCGAAGACAGAAGCCTGTAAAACACAAATGAAAACAACCCATGCCATTTTAAAATGCAACCAATGTTAGTCAAGCTCCTAGCTATTTACTAACTTTAGGTAACTAGCTAACCACAAGAGTGAATAGACTGTCAATTAGCTCCCTGCCCTGAATCACGACAACACATGCAACAGAACGCCTGTCAACTTGACCACGTTCAGTTGTCGAACGTTGCAGATAGAAATGCCATGAATACAGCCATCATGATTGCTTGGTCTACATGTCGGAGAGACATGTTTGTTCTATATCTACACATTTTTATCTGAACACTCCAAAACGGTTTGTTAGAGGTAGCTAGAGTTGACAGCTGTCAACTAGGTATTTGAAAGCTAGCAACCTCTAGGGTGTTTAACGAAACGTTATTAGCATGATTGATACTAGGGTCAACTTTGGCATACCAAACTACCAGCGTTAAATAGCTAATTAGCCACCTAGCTAGTGTCACTGTCGTCCGAGGGATTATCGCTGTCATTCAATCTAGCTAAGTAGCTAGCTAGCTAGCTACTACTAGCAAGCTAAAACGACATTAGCTACAGTGCATCTTCCCATTCAGTGCAAAATAACTGATTACATGAGTGATTCTTAATAATTATTTAGCATTACCAGAACAAGGTATTGAGCGTGAGCGCAACAAAGATGCTGTAGAGCGGCCTCTCCCAAACAAGCAACCTCTGCAACCATAACAACAAGGGCTCATATTGCGATAGCCAGCCTTGGAGACGCTCTCGCAGTTGCACGAGCTCAGGGTTCCCATCCCCGCATACTTGCTCTGATCCTCCGGCAGGGAACATGTCCTCGAGGACCGAAGAGGAAGAAACAGAGGGGCGTCTAGCCTCCTCTCCGCTCGCCATCTTTCCCCCACTTTGTTATGTTGTTTTGGCGATCACGGGGTATAGATACGTGGGCAGATCCGCGAAGGCCCGTCATGGAGAAAAAAAAAAGTAGGAACCGATGTTACTGGTCGTCACTAGTTACTACAGCCACAAAGTCATAAACCCCGCCTATTTCTACAATTTATCTTCTTAAAATGTGATTTTAAACCTAACCACACTGCTAACCTTATTCTTACGATATTGCCAATCTTGACTTTGTAGCTGTGCTATCTAGTGTAATCCCAGTTTACTGGCTCAGCATGTCACGTGCTTCCTTGTTTACTGTCCTCTTGGTTTTGCGAAAACAATAGCTATTTACTGATTTATCTGCTGGATAAATTGGTTACTACCAGCCATTGTTATGTAAAATACAATTTATATTTCTATCTCCACTTGTTTCTCTGAAAAGCTTACATAAAACAGTGAAATCCATTATAAAAAAACGAGTCAAATGGATTAGAACATGTTTAATACAGAACAAATTCAGCGCAATACAAAGTAACACAAACTTTCATCATCAATTTGATCAAATGCAACTAAGGACAATTGTGTTTCATTGAACTCAACTGATACAGCTGATTGTTGCGGATTATGTTTTTCAGCACATTGACATTTTGAAAAAGGTCTCCCTTTTCATCCACTTCACATGGTCCTCTAGTGATCTCAGTTTGATTTGCTTGAAATCTCTAGAAAAGAAAAAACAATAGTGGAGATGCAATACGATCAAAGATTGGAATGATTATATCCAAAGCATATGATAAAAAAAGATTGTGTGCATCAAAGTGTGTTCTTATTATATCAGTATAAATGTAGATAATAAGCTCCATACAGACTCTTGACATATACACAAACCAATCTGAGACATGCAAATTAACAACAACATGGTTGCCCCAAATGGCACCCTATTACCTATATATAGTGCACTACTGACCTGAGATAGACTAGTGTCCTGTCCAGGGGGTGTACTTGTACATCAAGTTGCCTCATGTTACAGAAACAAAAGATAGGCTCGTGCTCCTATGAGCCGTTCCAGCTTGCACAAGCCAAGCTATTTATTTACTTTTCACCTGAGCCCTATGGACACTGGTCAAACGTAGTACACTATATAGGGAATAGGGTGCCATTTGGCATGCAGATCAAATCTTTGTGCAGATACATCACCACATTCCCCTGGTGCCATAACTTAGCCTTTGAGCTGCAGCCAGTCCATAGAATGTTATGCACAAAGGCTTAGAATCTTCAAGATTCCAGTCCATTTGAAAATCATTGGATTTATACAGCGCCCCTTGCATCAGGCAAGCAGGGAACGATAGGTCAGAGGTCATCACCCTTTGCAGAGAAAGTCTGTGTGTGTGTGCATGTGTGTGTGTGCATGTGCGTGTGTGCCCACTTGCATGTTGGTGCTTCAGGGTATGTGGTGGGGGGGTTGATATGTGGCTGAAGCTCAGAGAAACAGGGGGCAACATATAGCAGCAGCAGCAGCTGTTGTTGGGGGTCAAGGCAGCGTCTTTGACAGCCAGTCAGTGAGCTGGGGGGGTTGGGGAGAGGAGAGAAAAAGGGTGGACCTACCTGGGCCAGGGAGGTGGGGCTAGAGGCGGTGGAAGATGGAGGTAGGGCAAGGGGGCCTGACTCCCACAGGTGCTAAGAGGCTAAAAGGGCGTCAATACCTGCTGGGGTTAACACCATGGCCTGTAGCAGGTCGGAGAGAGAGATGATCCCCCTGCACACGTCCTCTCTGTCCACCAGGACCAGCCGATGGACCTGAGGGGAGGGGATGGGGACAGGATCAGGAGTGGAAGCGGAGAGGATGGAGAAGGAATGGGGCAGGATGGGGGTAGGATGAGGGTAGGATGGAGAGAGGATGGGGGGGCAGGATGGTGGTAGGATGGGGGCAGGATGTGGAGAGGAGGGGGAGAGGATGGGGGCAGGATGTGGAGAGGATGTGGAGAGAATGAGGGCAGTATGGGACAGGAGGGGGAGAGGATGGGGGTGTGTGGTGGGAAACGGTTGACAGTGGTTAGACAACAAGGATTTACCGGTAATTAAGTAGAGTAGAGTAGAGCAGAGCAGTAAGCAACAGAGGGCTAATACCTATACAGTCTACAGCTAATACATTGAAATACATTATAATACTAGAGTGGCCTATGTCACAAACCTTCATAACTCTATTTCTATTTCATTGTGTGGGCTAATAGAGCTACATGTTACAGCATATCAGCGGCCATTTCTTTGATGTCTTTTTTAAACAAACTCTTAGATGGAGTGGAGAGACAGGGCCACCGTGATAGAGGACACAACCTGGGTCATATTCAGTAGTGCACACCGTAGCAAAACGTAGCAATAAGAACGAGTGTTTCTTATTCGACAAGTTCAGGTAGTCCCTCCCTGTTTCAGCCTGTTTTCTTCCATTTGGTGCCATATGAACATAACCTGGGGGGAGCAGAGTGGGACACTAACCTCAGCCTTAATGATGCGATCGATGACGGTCTCCAGGGTCTCGTCAGGGAGGCACTTGATGACACCCTCTACGAAACAGCAGCGCCGCCGGATGGCCTCCTGCATGGACATGTTCAGGTTGTTGTATGTCTTCTGGGCGGCCAGATTCTGTCTCCGAGAAGAGGAGAGGAGCGGAGGGAACAATGTAAATGTACACAATGCACCAACAAAGACGTGAAGGGCTTTATTTTGTATTGTTTTCAGGTGAATTAAACTGTAACAGGCAGTTTTGGGGTACTTACAATCACATCGAATCTGGAGTAGAGGGCCACCACCTTGCCTTGGTGTACAAAGGACAGTGAGATAATGTACATAGCCTACCTACATCCTACAAGTCTAACTTTCTTTTTGAATGGCACCTACATAAGGACATACACATACACTGTACGAGTCAGTGTTTGACTCTGAACAAGAGATTAGGTTAACCCACCTTGCTCGTTTACTACGGGCAGCGCAGAGACCCTCCTCTCTACAAACACAGACAGGGCATCGTAGACCGAGGCCGTCTGCTGTACTGTGGCAATGTTCCGGAATGTCCCGATCCCAACATCCTGGATCGTCTTATGCATGAAGCAGGGTTTTGGGACTGTCTCTTTCTGTGTAGAGTACTTTATTTTTTTTAAAGGAACACAAGGAATGTAAAAGGAAAACATACAGTTCACAACACCACTGGTTGAAATGGATGCCCATATAATATAAGCATAAACACACACACATCTTCTCCAAGTCATGTTGTCTTACAAATATATGGAGGAACTTGAGGATTCGCTTGTGCGTGAGAATGTGTAAGACATTTCCGGACACGGGATCGATAACTGGCAATCTGTGGATCTTATACCTCAGTAGGGAGTAGATGGCGTCGAAGAGGCTGCAAAGAGAGGAGGGGAGACAGACTAGGCCTATGGTAACTGTGTCTAACCCTGGAGAGCACAACCAACATCCACACATGGGTCATGTTGCAAAACGTTTTGCTACAGTGTGCCCTACTAAACACAACCCAGAACACTGCCTGTAATATACTGAATCCCAGCCTCAATTTCCTTAGTCTGTCACTCATTAAAAAAGGTATCAGCAAAAGTAACAACTCAGGCAAAGCCAGGTGACAGGAGTTGGCTTGACTGAGAGCTGCGTAGATTCACCTGGCGTCTGGAGTGATACTGTGAAGACAGTGGTTGGAGTATTGCAGGTACACATCTGCAGAGAGAGAGAGAGAAATAAACAGAAGGGAAAGTTACAGAAAGACATGTAAGTATATACCATAGACATAGAACACTGCATCATTTGCCTTCTCTAGCTTATTTACTTGAATGAATCACCTCGCCATGTCCCAATTTGATGCCTCTCCAGCTCATTCATTTGAACCTTTGGGAGTGGGGAAACATATTGGACAACTTATATTATGAATGATTTCTGTGTCATTCACACAACCATGATCTTGTCTCTATTGAACATGCTTTTTAGTCCAGGACTAGGCTTAAAGGGATAGTCCACCCAAATTACAAAATGGTTTCCTTACCCTGTAAGCAATTTATGGACAAGGTAAGACTGCAATCCATGCTTTGGTTTTGTTTACATGGCCACTGTCACCAAAGGCTAACTTTTAAGAATTTTTGTCAAAAAATGTTTCATGTCCAAATCATCTTAAAATATGTTTATTGAGCTACACAATCCATTTCAGACACTTTGGGATATTGACCTGCATTTGGCTCAAATACGCACCAATGGGGACCTGTAGTAACGATGGAGAATGTTGATGAAATCTGTTATAGTCAGCATTCCTGTGAGGACAATAGAGAGAGAGAGAGAGAGAGAGCTCATATCACTATTGACATGGATACGAGCTAGTGTCTAGTCTTCATATCACATTGCCCCCAAAACCAGCCCAAGCTTGCAATCATTCAGGGCATTGCGTTGCCATTAGCAAGTAGCAAGAGAGCACCCCCTAATCTATTCTCTTACCCACAAATCTCTGCGTCTTGCTATCCCAGAGAGGTGCAGCTCTCAAGCCGTTTGCTACAAGAGCGAAAAAGGCTTTCTTCACCTGCAAACATAGGATTTCTTTTTAACACAACTAGTTAACACCGGTCTTACTAGCGAGTATGTTTTAGGGAAGAAGGAATGAGGGGGCCGCACATGAAATATTGCTGCAGCACATGACATATTGCTGCAGGGAAAAGGGAAAACAGCTATAACTGTAGCTGTAGTTACAGGAGAGAGGAGCTCTGACTTAAAATGTCATACCAAAAGGGACCACGACCTTTCCCTTGGGAAGTGGAGGGAGATTAAATATCTGGGTTGAGTTCAGCAGGAAGAATATGTTCTGAAATGGGGAGGCACTATGTGAATTTGTCAAGTAAGAACACATATTTTTGTTTCCTGTAACCTGTTGTAAGACATTTTGCTACGATGTGCCCTACTGAACACCACCCTGGACTATTTTTTGCCCCCAAATTATTGTTGTATTGTTCAGTTCCAACATACACGTGGGTTACAGGAAACTGGACTCTTACTTGTAGTGTTGTGTCAAATATGACCAGTTTACAGCTGGTTGGAATGGCCTCATAGCAGCAATGACTTTTCATGAACTTCATGTAGATCTCAACATCGGCCTCTGAAGTTATGGGGAGGTGAAGTGGGGACAAAGTTACACACACACACATACAGTTATAGATCCCCTATACACCTCATTCCACGAAACAGACACACAAATGTACATGCACACACACACACACACACACAAACACCGAAGGTTACCTGAATTACCTGCATTCTTCAATTCTTCAAGCATCTCTCGAAACGAGATCTAGACCAACAGAAAAAATCACCAACAACCTCAATCACTCTCTAACACTTTGATAATAGTGCTCTAAAATCACTGCTGGAATGAAGCTCGAAGGAAAAACATTCAGGATCAAGGTGAACTAAGCTCTAAACTAAAAACATTATTTACAATCCAATAGGCTTTTTACCCCAGCTTATTCCTTGTAGTCCTAAATGCTTCAATCCTACACGCACTTCTCGAACACAAATCCGGCTTACTCGTGTTCCATGACCTACCTGCCTGATAGGCGGATGTCTTTTCTCCATGAAAGAGTTGGGCTCTACGCAACCAACAACAAACGCTAGGTCCTGCTACATGCAGGCTCCTCTCCCCCTGCCTGTCCCACAAACCAGTTGGGTCTATATTAGGAGCAGGAGTCTCAAGTGGTATGCGGAGGGCCAAGGGGATGGGGGCGGGGTCTGGGGTGAGGGGCGCAGGCAGAAGAGGGGTGGGTACGTTCCTCTCTGACATATTCTGCATTGTTTCTGTGTGGATTTTAGGACCATTACAGCATGTTGTTGATGAGGTTCCTGAGTTGTGAAAACACTTTGCCAGGCATTGCGACTGATATTTTGCACAGAAGCACAGTGTCAGAAATGCTCACGCAGACTTGCCATACTAGGACTACACGAGGCACAGCAGTCAAAAGGACGTGTTGTGTTGTGATATGGATATGTGCTGAAGCTGAATGCAATAGAGAGATGCTGCAGTGTTATGAAAGGCTTGCTATTTGTCTGGTGATGGGTGTAACTATGTTGACAGTCTCGATTCAGCTGTTATGGCTTCCTGTTCCCATTGGCATTGTGTTGTTCATTGTTATTTGCAGGAGCTTGAGGACAGCAGCAATAACAGGAAATGAGGTTAAGTACACTATGTTGTGCAGAGTTGTTGATGGGGAGATTGAATCTTAATTGTGTTTCCTTGATTCCTCTCTCCTTCTGAAAACACATTGGAGAAGATTGGGGCTCACATTCAAAGAGTCTCAGAGTAGGAGTGCTGATCTAGGATAAAGTTTTGCCTTTTAGATGACAATGAAGAGTTGAAACCTGATCCTTGATTAGCAGTCCTACTCTGAGATGCTTTGCGAATACGGGCCCACAGGGCAGGAACCCCAGATATTCTGCTCCAATGCATTTTGAGGAGACGAGGACGTGAGGAACGAAAGAAATACAATTGAGATTCCAAAGATGGTGGCTTAGGTGACAGTGCCTTAGCCTGGTCCCAGATCTGTTTGTGCCGTCTTGACAAAGACCATGTGAATTGGCAAGACAGCCCAAACAAATCTGGGACCAGGTTAATGTCGCCTTGCTTGACACCACACATGTAGATCAGTGCCTGTGTGACTGCAGTTCCTAGATGTGAGCTCAAATGGCATATTGCTTTCTAGGGTGTGTGATTAATAGATTGTGAGATGAATAGCTCAATGTTGACAACTCACATTACATACTGTATGTCAAAGTGGACCATGTGGACAGTGATACAAGCATATATGACAAATAAAAACCAAACCTTTAAGGGTCAAGCATTTTATTATATATTTTTTTACAGATTTCTACACATTGACTGTTTTGTACATGGTTTACAAAATTCAAGGATATCGTGCTTCAAAATCTAAGTCTGATTTGAATTTGTTCAATTGCTGAAAGTATCTAAATAAACAAAAGCCAAACTTCATGGAGTTATTGTCCTAGGGACCCCAGTGCCTCATGGCTTTGTAAGAAACGTGTCAATGTAAAACCAAGTCAAATGTAGAAATATCACAAATTCCCTAGCAAGAACCTTCTCTCTTGAGTAGAAAAATATGAGAAGAGCTAACTGTTTTTCAGGGTTGAGAGACATAGAAATAGTATTACTAGAATTGACATCCCCATTCAAGTAATTATATTTCTAAGGAGAAAGAAGCCATTTCCAATTTTGAGCGGGTGGAAAAGGCAAATTATGTGCGAGTGATTGAGTGGCTGGTTTACTGTTGTCAGGTCTCCCCAACCAAATGGGTATGTTAAAGAGGGATACTAATTAATTGCACTAATTGAAAAACAGACATTTCTATTTTTTAAAAAGTGTTATGTTTTGCACAATACACCTCATCCATATGAGGATGTTATGTTTCCATGATTAGGTTATTGGATGAAAATCGCATTCATTAGATACATTTTCAAAACATTCATGTTTAATGTTGGCGCCATATTCAAAACGCTTATTTAAAACACGGCAAACAGTGGACTGGTTATGACCTATTTCAGTTGCGTGGCATTATGTTGTGCAAACATGAAAACAGAGATGGTCACTGCATTCTATCATGGTAAAATAAATAGTTACCTGAAAAAAAAACTAAAGGCTGCACTCTCAGAGTTGCAGCTGTCCCCCTGTGCTATCTGAGTTCAGCGTCATGTTCAGTAGGCATGAAATGAAACAAATGTCCCAAAAAAGGGGGGGGGGGGGGGGGGGGTTGTACTCGCTGAACTTGTCCAATAACAAACGTCTATTTTCATTTACTGTTGCAAAGCAGTTTAAAGCATTTCGCTACGATGTGCCCTAATGAACACGACCTGAGAGGGGCAGCCATACTGAGATATCAATTTACTATTTACTGTTTTTTCACTGGAATAAAAAAAACATTTAATCTCTACTGTTGTTCAGTGCAGGGACCAGTAGCCATCTGTGACTTCACTGGTCTAAATATGATTAACAAACAAAAAAAAGCATAAATATGTTGAAATCTTTAAAATAACAACTGCAGTAAATGAGAGAATAATGACCCAAAACTCCATGGCAAAGCATATGTAGGCTAGCTAGTTGTCTCTAGCTTGAGTGCAAGTCTGTTTGTGCCATCATTCCAACTCCTTGTCACGCAATGTTTGGCTTGACAAGAACAGCAATGGAGTTGGCAAGGGCACAAACAGATATGGGACCAGACTAAATTGACTCCCTTCTTAAATCCATTATGTTCACTTTCTGTGAGACTCATTGGCGCGCTACAATACAGTACTGACTTAGAAAGCAGCCTTGCTTTTGTCGAGACAACTTACTTTCGCAACACATTCTCAAATAGCTATGATGTCGCATCAAAACTTAACTCCTCCAACTCAAAACATGACTTAACCTAACTCCTACAAGCCCCCATTTTCAAACATAGGTAAGGAGTAGGTAGCTTGGGTACCAGTCTGTTTGTGCCATCATGCCACTTTGTCATGCCAAACATGTTTGACATATGACAAGGAGTGGCAATGAGTGGAATGATGACACAAACAAATCTGGGACCCAGGCTAAAGAGTAGGTAGTAACAAACGCTGTGTGGGTATGGTAGCCATGCTAAACACATTTTTTTTGTCTTTTGAAACCAAACCTGAAATATTAGTTTGCCATGTACACACCTTCTAGACCTCAAACACCTCCTTGACTTCGGAAACACCCATTGAAAAGCTATGTGATCCAACCTCCATTGAAAAATAAATGTTAGAAAAGACATGAGGGGCTGAGTACAGAACTCAGATCTCATGCTGTTATGAGTTAATCTTACTTATTTACACCAATTCAGCTGGCATCAAACCACTGTACAAAATGTGCTACTCACCTTTAGGGTCTCTTATCTCAAATTTAGACAGTATATGCAAAAAAAAAAGCACATACAAAACAAAATCAATCCTTTCACTGCAACGGATGCATTCTGAAAAATCAGCTGGTTTAATTTGGAGTCCGGCGTCATCGTCAATGCAGTGGCTTGTTTTGTCCGTCTGTGTCTAGCTGGGCATGAGGAGAGATGGGGCTTTCTCGATGGGCAGCATGAACTGTGGGCAGCAGGGTCCGACACGGAGGGTTGCCATGCTATTCAGACAGGAGTCCAGGAACATCGGGGCGGCTCCATAGAGGAGGGGGGAAGGGGCCAGCCACGGTGCTGCGGGGTGACCAGGGGGTCCAGGCTCAAGTAGTAGAGCAGAGGTGTTCCGTGGGCCGCACTGGATAGAGCCAGGAGGGAGGCTCCCCACTGTCACTGGGCAACCGGGGAAGTGCAGGGAGGAGGCGGACAAGGCTGGTTCAGTGTCAGGCTGGGGGTCTGGGTCAGTGTGGCCCCGCGAGGTGAGGAGAGAGCCCCATAGACACAGTATAGAGGTCTGGGAGGAGGTTGGCGAGCCGAGGTTGTGGTCGTCGTGGGTGTGGAGAGTGCCAGGCCGGCGGTTGTGACTGTCGTTGCCCAAGACGCAGCAGCGAGGGAGGTCGGATGCTGGACTGGGGGTCTCTGGGACTGGGAGCTGGACTGGTGGTGGTGTTGGAGACAGGCTGGAGCTCGGCAGGTGGACTTGGCTGACTGGGGCCAGGGGCTGGCTGCTCCTGGGGAGGCTGAGCTGCTGCAGCACAGCGCTGGTGGCAATAAGGCCCGCCACACTGGTCAGATACACCAGCCCCAGCATGCAGGTCACCTGGAGAGAGGTGAGGACATGTGGATTTAGTGGATTTCTTTCATTATGTTTTTCCTTTTCCCCCAAACTGACTACTTTCAAAAGTGTTGCTTCTTTCAATCAACACATAGTTTACGTGGGTTTCTGCAATGAGCAGTTTTCGGAAATTGATGTTACTTTCAGGGGTGTTTCTGAGACTAGAGTTGTGTCCATTAGACACAAAACAGGAGAAAACGTAATACCTGAATAAGTCAAATAAAAAACGCTATTTTCTATTTCAAAATGTTCTGCTACGTTGTGCCCATACTGAGCACGACCCACAACTCAGTCCTTCAGTGCACTGTGGACCCCACTGCCCTGCCCTCTGACCCCTCCTCACCTTGGCAAAGCGCAGGTAGAGGGCCGTCAGTGCCTGTCGCCACGCCGCCTGCTCCAGCAGCACACAGAGGTCAGTGTAGGTGAACCAGCCTCGCTTCATCCCCTGCTTCACTGCAATACTGGAGTCACAACAGGCCAGAGTTAATACACACACACACACACACACACACAACACACACACAGACCACCCTCAATGCAAACACAGAGAGAGAGAGAGATGTACCTAGAACAGAGGCTGGCAAACAATGACTACGGTCATGTGACACACACAACCAACCCTTTGTTTGAACTAGCAGCTCTGTATCAGATCTACAGCCCCTATGCCAGCCAAATTACCACAAGAACTTGACACTACTGATTTAGATATTCCCTGAAAAATCATGGGGCCTCCAAAAACAGAAGTCTCTATGACATTCCCAACACTTCATAGCTTCTTGTGTTTCTAATGGTCCTAATGCATTAGGAGTCTCTCACACACACCCCGACACACAGGCCGATTTTTTCTTGAGCGGATGGTCAGGGGGTCGGAACATAATTACAAATATTTTGTAGACTACAAATTAACTACAAGAAGCCCAAACCGATATAATTTTTGACTAAAACAATAATTTCAAATCTTGCATACATTTGTATACGATCACATATACTGTATATCTCTCTATTATGCATAGGAATAATTTGGAACATAGTTCCAGAATTAAAATCATTTGGAAATGATTTGCTGGGGGCCTCCCGAGTGGCGCAGTGGTCTAAGGCACTGCATCGCAGTGCTAGCTGTTCGAGTCCAGGCTCTGTTGCAGCCGGCCTCGACCGGGAGACCCATGGGGCGGCGCACAATTGGCCCAGCGTTGTCCAGGTTAGGGGAGGGTTTGGCCGGCAGGGATGTTCTTGTCCCATCGTGCACTAGCGACTCCTGTGGCGGGCCGGGCGCAGTGCACGCTGACACGGTCGCCAGGTGTACGGTGTTTCCTCCGACACATTGGTGCGGCTGGCTTCCGGGTTAAGCGGGTATTGTGTCAAGAAGCAGTGCGGCTCGCACGGCTCTCGACCTTCGCCTCTCCCGAGTCTGTACGGGAGTTGCAGCGATGGGACAAGACTGTAACTACCAACAAGGACATTTTTTGTTGTTTTTTTTGCTCTGAAAACTAAAAATCACCCGCGGGCCAAATACGTCCCACAGGCCGCCAGTTGGGGAACCCTGCACTAGCACGAAAAACAATCTACGTGAATGACAAGAATCACAAACCTGGTTTCTAGTTGATCCAGTATGCCAAAGTAGTCCCCGGGCTCAGTGAAGAGGCTCCACTCCTGAAACACAGAAGCGTGAGCAGCTGTCAGATAGCATATCATGGCCATACAAATACAGTACAATGGGATTTCAATATTAGTGATGCGCGGGTTGACACAACCTGCAGTCCCCGCGGTTATATCCGTGGGGCGGGTGGGTTTAGTGTTCTGAAATATTGTGTGGATGAAGTGGGGGGTGGGTGGCAGCAATGTTCGAGCTGCAGTAGGCCTCGCCGTAACTAATCAGAGCTGCAGTAGGCCTATATGCAAATAGACCATTGCCATGGATTGGTGCCATTTACTTTGAACTGGACTGTGTTTACAGCATAGTCGTGAGTAGATGCACTTGTTTTGAGATCAAAGCAAGAGCTACATGTAGCGACGTGTGCACATTTGTTCATATCCTTTGCTAGTTTGTGAGTTATTAGCCCAGTTATAGATAATTCCTAGTCAGCAATGGGGGACTGATTGCTTCCTACAAGACCACAAAACGCGTTGGGTAAAGAGCTTTTTTTTTGTCTTAAAAGGGGCAGTGTTGTATTCTGAGACCGGCTTGAATAAGCTAAGTAGCCAATAGGCAGTGGGTAGCATAATTTGTCTGATTCTCTGTAATAATGGTATGGGAATAATGACGTTTTTATTTTGTAAAGTGGTTTCTTGCATCAAACACAACAACATTTTCAGTCACCTCCTTGTCTGAAGGACAAGTGGATAAACAGGTTAATGTCAAGCTCGGCATGTTTTTTTTTCAAACGTCTCATGGATTACAGGTCTACGTTGAACACCAGCCTACAGTAGCAGCCAATCTGTGAACGATAGAACAGCTATTTCCACGTTAAAATGTTATGGGATGCCTTTTCTCCATTGTTTTTGATGGTAGGCCACTCTGGTAGGCTTACATTATGATCAAATGGCCACAGAAGCCTACTTGGGCACTGTTAAAACTTAAAGCGGGTACAGCCTCAATGTTCACAGTAAACACGCGCCGGAAGTTGCACAGAATTTTCACAACTTTCAAGTGCTGAATTCTTTTTGAGGGAACATTGGGTGGCGGGCAGGTTGAATACAGAAAAAACTATACCTGTATCATTCTTGTGCAATTTATATCGCTAGGCTACATTTATGTTTCTTTCATTATTTTTGGCTATCTGGCATTAGTGTGTAAGCCTAAGCTTTAGGGCCTAACTGTACGCACACCAAATAGCCTACACCCCATGCTTTTGTGAACGGGCCGGGCAGAAAAAATTTATGGCGATCCACTGAAGCAAAAAGGACAATGAGTTTAATTCAATAAGAGAAAAGCTACGAAATGGAGAGTTGAAAATAATAATGAAAAAGGGGTGCAAGAAAAGTAATGTTTGGGAAAGATTTGGTGAAGTGGTAAAAGAGGATGATAGCAGTGTTATGTGTGATGATTGTGAAGCACTATACTTTAAATAGGGAACTGTAGCCTACTGTTCAGATGGGTTAAATGGAAACTGAAATCTGGACACTGACTGTAGGTCTATAACCTCTCACAGCCTTAATATTAACTCCTGCAGAATGTAGCATTTCTTGCAGTAAAATTATACACCAAATGTAGGCAACATTTTGACTCGGGAACAGTAGTGGAGAAATATGATTTATTTATTTCAGCATCTTGAGAGAATGTGAATAAGCAATTAGATACCGTCTGTAGAGGTGCTATCTTTATCAGTATCATAAAAGCTGATAGTATTTCAAGCACAAAATATGCATCCAAGCTGAACTGAAATATTTTCAGAAACACGTTGGGTCGTTTTCACAGTATTCTATTTGCTTACAACCAGTCAAACTGATGCCATTTGGACATTTCACACAGAAGATATTTCCTTTGTTTTTGTCATTGCATTTTCTCCCGGTCGCTGAACGTCTTTGCTCCATGAAAGAAGCAGAGACGACAGAAAACTTTACCAATGTCAACTAGATTGAAGCATTCATTCTATCGATCTATGACATTATTCTGGTGAGCAAGGGTTTATTTAGTCTTCTAGGGCTACATACAATGACAGAAGAGAAGCTGCATGTATCTAATTATAGACAAGTTTACTAAAAAAAACGACCAAAATGTCGGAAATTATAAGCAGAAACATATCTAAAATCAGGCAAAAAAAATCCTGCACCCTCTGTCAAAAAATCACTCTGCCGTCTCTGTAGCCTACAGTGCATTTTCTGTATTAGCGGGTTAGGGTTGGGCCTCAGATTTTCAATGCAGGCGGGTGCGGGTGAACAAACGGTTGACCCACGCACCACTATTAAATATATGGCTCTGAGTGGGATCACACATTTCTGAGCCTGTGTGTATAGTATGTAATACTATGTATAACTTACAATGGCATCGAGGAAATTCATCTCCAGGGTGTTGACAGTCTGGACGTCCAGTTTCCCAGCTGCCCCCCACTCGTCGTTGAACACCTCCTCGTCCTCCCCTTCGTCGTACAAATATTTGCTGGCAACCATCTGGAGGAAAGGCGACACAGGATTAGGGGGTTAAGATCAGTCCATATGTCATAGAAAGCAAGATGTGTTTGCATCTATTTCCTCACACATACTACACAGGAGATTCCATCCTAATAGTTGTTATTTTTGACTTGACTATTGTTATTATTGTTACTGACTGATGTACTGCATCGTTGAAGGAGCTATCACATAAGCATTTTGCTGCATCTTTTATACCTGCTGTAAACTGTGCGTGACGAATAAAATTTGATTTGATTTTTAAACATGACAGGACACTTTCCCAGACACAGACTTAAGCCTACCCCTGGTCAAAAAAACACATTGCAGATTCTAAATTGAACAAGAATTAGGTGTAGTATATGAGTCTTGGCCCTACATGCCCAGCAGATAATAGAGAGACCCATGTTCATAACAAGCTGTACTGTGCCCATCACATGCATAGCCTTAACCTAATTCTGTCGAGAAGACCTGTGCTTTTCAGTCACCCACATTGCCATTGCATAATTCTGGTAAGAGGACCTAATGCTTATCACCTAGGCTAAATAGCCTTGGCTTAATTCTGGCGAGACAACCTGTGCGTCCCAAATTTCCCCCTATTCCAATCAATCAATCAAAAACATATTCTCACATGCTTCGTAAATAACAGGTGTAGACTAACAGTGAAATGCAGATCTTGGCTCTGGTCAAAAGCAGTACACTACAATGGGAATAGGGTGCCATTTGAGATGCATCCAACCTTTGGCCCACATACCATGGAGATAAGGAAGAGGTCAGAGGAGGAGATCTTTCGCAGGTATTCGGGGTTCCTGTGTCGTAACCTTTCGATGTAGACCAGGGCCAGCATCATGGCACACGGAGAGATACACGCCTCCCTGAAAAACAGACCAACTATATTAAGTTATGAAGACCATTACGTGCCCAGAAAGGATAACATGGAAAGTGTCAACATTCACTGACAACATACCTCGCGACATGAGCAGCATATTTCTTGTGCAGTTTTCGAATTGGGCTAGGGGCAGACTTCTGAAGGAATTCCACAGCAATATCTAGAAATCATATTCAGAACATAATAATAATCAATTATTCAAATTCACAACATAATAATCAACACAGTCACACATGGACAGGACATAACCTAACCGACAAAATAGCTAACCTGTAACAGGACAGGAAAGGGAATCTAGAGAGCCATCTTGGTCCAGGCCATAGTACAATCGCTTCCGTACTCTCTCAGACAGTTTCTGATGTCCAGGAAGAAACTGTGAAGGCAGATCAGATAGCAAAGTTAATAATTGAGCGACACGCCTACATGACAAAAAAGAACCTGAAATAACGTTAGCTAGCAAACTTTACACAAACAAGTCACGTCAACACAGTTGGAATAATGTACCTAGCTAAATAGCTATCCCACAAATTGCCTCTTATATTCGGTTATCCCACTGTGTTTGCTGGCTACCGTCTTACGAGGTAAGGGTTAACGTTAGCTTCAACTTCACGACTTGTCACCTAAATCCAGAACAACCACATTCACATGTAGCTAACGTTAGCAAGCTGGTTAGCTACGTTAACGTTAGTTAGTCCAATACCGTACAGTAAGCGTTAACCTAGCCGTGTTTTGATGTTCAATTATAAGAAAGGCATACAAACACGTTTTGTTTAACCTGGTATACATATTTAAAATGCAATTACCAAATATGTCGTAAACTCATATCATCTCGTAAACTGTTATCGTTAACTAAATACCTCCCTAAACTAGCCAACTCAGCTAGCGTTGACAACGTAGCTAGCTAACTAGCCTGCTATTGTAGGCTTAATGACAGGCCAAGGCGAGTGAAAACGTAACTTACCGTAAACTCCTGAAAGTCAGAAAATTGAAATGTTCGTTCACTAAACAATTCGTTGAAATCCATGCTGTCTATCCAACATTAGCCAAATACTAGAAAGAGAGAAATCTAGCTGAATATCTATAAAACGGCGCCTGGTCTTCCTCAGGCTAGCTAGCTAGCACATCAGCAACCCCCGTTGTGATGGCTGACAAGCCCGCTTAGAAACCAATCAACAGCTGAGATGAAGGAGGGAGGGAACAGTCTAGGGAACAATTATGTAATGTACTGTATGGCTACAAACAGTTGTCTAATAATATAAAGCTAGCAATATGGTAAATTAGTAAAAACAGAGCCCACTTTGTCATAATACACCTTTAATTATACAATTTATTAACATATAAATACAAAGAAAAAACAAACCATTTATGTATTTGACATCCAGGCATGGACTGATGCCACACACACATAGGAAAAGTGACAAAGGCAAAGATCACACTAAAAACAAACTATGCCCCCAAATCGCATACAAAACAGTTTGACATTGTGTCAAAGCAGTTAATATCAAAACAGATTTTGGTTGGGTGCATTTTTCTCTGTGTCAATCAGTGGAGGCTGCTGAGGGGAGGACGGCTCATAATAATGGCTGGAACGGTGCAAATTGAATAGCATCAAACACATGGAAACCAATTGTTTGATGTATTTGATACCATTCCACTTATTCCGCTCCAGCCATTACCACGAGCCTGTTCTCCCCATTTAAGGTGCCACCAACCTCCTGTGGTGTCAATGTCACTCATTGACACAGAGAACATTTCAAACTCATGGTGCATTAGTGTAAATAATTTGACTGCACCGGTTTGCGCACATTGTACACCTACAAATGATTGACTGCTGTCGTGGTAGAGCAATGATTTGATAGCAGAACCACTCTAGCTCTTTGGTATTACTTCTGCAGTCACAAATGCTCAAATGCATTTGGGATTAATCTAATTATTTCACAGTCTGACATAACTTTTCATGATGTAAAGTCCGTTGTGCATTATATGGATGGTAAGAATGTCAGTTTTCACTTCCCCTTGATTAATGCAGACAGTTTCAAATTCCAATTAAACTCCAAACCCGTAATCCTATGGCCTTAACGTAGATATAAAGTCCCCATTTTCTCTCAAATAACTCAAGTTCAGCTAAATGGCTAGATCTTCCCTTATGGCCCTTTTTTAAATAAATGAAACAGAATTTTACAATACATACTGTAAATGGAGTGTGATTATTATCAACAGATATTGACAAACTCCACACTGCCTTGGGAATGCAAGGCATAGATATTTACAAATTCAAATACAGACTAATTTATTCCATTAAAATAAAAATACACTGACAGTAGTTCTTTACTCAAAACGGGTAGCAGCATAGACAGGGTTGAGAATTCTGAGTTCATTCATAGATAAAGGTTTTCTTTTCCGCTGGGAATTTTGTCAATTATATCGGTTCTGTTCTCTTGCCAGTAGTTCTTATTGATCACCATTGGTGACAAATAAAAGTTACAGCCAGGATAATTTTGCAAGTATCAGTCAACACCTAGACTGTACATGATAATGCCAGAGTCTGATTGGAGTAAAATTGATGCAGCTTGGATGTGAAACGGACCAAATACAGACTAAATATCTGTTTTACTAATAACCAAATTTAGATTTTAAAGTTGAAGTTCTCATACACATACCTTGTACTTAGATTTTTTTTTAAACAATTAGAGTGCAACTGATTTCTTTGTTAAACAGTCAAATCGGTCTGAATCTCTTCATTAGTCTAATGTAAATCTATTGCTTGTATAGTAGCTAACAAAAATGTTCCCGTCTCATTAGCTAAAAAGTGGGTATAGTACAAAATATATATATATATATACACTACAGTTCAAAAGTTTGGGGTCACTTAGAAATGTTCTTGTTTTCGAAAGAAAAGCAATTTTTTAGTCCATTAAAATAACATCAAATTGATCAGAAATACAGTGTAGACATTGTTAATGTTGTAAATATCTACATAGGCGTACAGAGGCCCATTATCAGCAACCATCAGTCCTGTGTTCCAATGGCACGTTATGTTTTCTAATCCAAGTTTTTCATTTTAGAAGGCTAATTGATCATTAGAAAACCCTTTTGCAATTATGTTAGCACAGCTGAAAACTGTTGTGCTGATTAAAGAAGCAATAAAACTGGCCTTCTTGAGCCTAGTTGAGTATCTGGAGCATCAGCAATTGTGGGTTCGATTACAGGCTCAAAATGGCCAGAAACAAAGCACTTTCTTCTGAAACTCGTCTATTCTTGTTCTGAGAGATGAAGGCTATTCCATGTGAGGAAATTGCCAAGAAACTGAAGATCTCATACAACGCTGTGTACTACTCTCTTCACAGAACAGCGCAAACTGGCTCTAACCAGAATAGAAAGAGGACTGGGTGGCCCCGGTGCACAACTGAGCAAGAGGACAAATACATTAGTGTGTCTAGTTTGAGAAACCAGCGCCTCACAGGTTCTCAACTGGCAGCCTCATTAAATAGTACCCGCAAAACACCAGTCTCAACGTCAACAGTGAAGAGGCGACTCCGGGATGCTGACCTTCTAGGCAGAGTTGCAAAGAAAAAGCCATATCTCAGACTGGCCAATAAAAAGAAAAGATTAAGATGGGCAGTCTGAGATATGGCTCTGGATAAGAGCGTCTGCTAAATGACTAAAATGTAAATGAAATAATGGGCCTCTGTACACCTATGTAGACATTCCATTACAAATCAGCCGTTTCCAACATTACCAATGTCTACACTGTATTTCTGATGAATTTGATGTTATTTTAATGGACAAAAACATTGCTTTTCTTTCGAAAACAAGGACATTTCTAAGTGACCCAAACTTTTGAACAGTAGTTTATAATTTACAATGAACCTGTTCAATAAGACCATCTCTAGATGTTGTAAATAAACCTAATATTTACATTTCTCAACCCCTAAACATTAGTCAACAATTCAAAGTGTTGTGAGACACTGTGCCTAACTGCCTACACATGCGCTTAAGGGTAGGTATTCGTCTACTTTGGACTTGCTGCCACTTCTCTGGACTGAGTCCTGGGTCGTGTTCATTAGGAACTAATCTCTCATGGACAGACGCATGTAACATAACTGGTATCGTAGTGTCTGTCAACAGACTGTGGGATGCGACAACAGCGAGGTGCACAGATTTTATTATTATTATATATATTAATTTTTTTTCCCACCGATCATTTCGAGAAATCATGATTATGCAGGTGGGGGAGGGGGGAATGGAGCTACCGCCCTGCTTCTGCTACTTGTTCTAGTATATTTTCCCACACGTCTCCCCCCAGAATTTGATGGAGCATCTGACTCAATTACATATAATTTTTTGTGTGTGTGGGGGGGGTGGTTCAGAGATTAATTACGCACTAAACGGATCAAAACAGACTGCAATAAGGAGGGACTACCTGGACTTGACCAATAAGAAACACTAATTTTAAAAACATTTTCTGTTAGTTGCCCTAATGAACACGATCCTGAATACACTTAAAAACAACTGGCCTGAGGCATTCATGGCACAAACATTTTGATTGAATGACCAAACATAAAATACCAAATAAATATGTGCTTAACTTCACTCATAACAGAATGAACCTCAATGGACGGATACCCTAAAAAAGTGCAGAAAAAACAGCCTTTTGAGGCATCTAATCCTCTCCCTGCATCCCTCGTCCACCTCCTCACAATATCTACATATCCTTGACCTCTCACTCTATCCTCAGTGGCCTTCAGTGGCTGATGGGGGCTGTAGTTTCTCAGACTTCCTGTCTTTGGCTTCTGTGTCAGAGGCTGAGTCCGAGTCCTGGGCCTGTTGCTGCTTCATCCACATGTCACAGTACAACCCTCCCTTAGCCAGCAGCTCATCATGCCTGGGAGGGAGAAAGTGGAGAATATGTATTAACAATGGGGACACACAATCACCATTACCATCATGATCATGTACTATGCCAAGATGTACCCACATGGGCACTATATGGTTTTGAGAATAGGACTATAGTGTGCGAAGTATCATAAACATTGGCCTGTCCCATTCTTGATGTTTACATACATTCTTTAGCTATTTGTTTCTTGAAGAGCATAAAACAATATTTTGATTGGAATAGGCTTGTGGAGTGTGCAACAATAGAACAATCACTCTTTCAACCATTCACTCACCGTCCTCGCTCTGCAATCTGACCGTCACTTAGAACAAGAATCTGGTCGGCACCGATGATGGTCGACAACCTGAAGACAGACAATTCACAATCAGACCAGACAGATCCAAACCATATAAATGTAGGATTAGAGGGGAGAAATGTGTGTGTCCTAATCACAGGAGGTTGGTGGCATCTTAATTGGGGAGGACGGGCTCGTGGTAATGGTTGGAGTGGAATGGTCTCCAATACGTCAAAACACAAGGTTTCCATGTGTTTGACGCCATTCCATTCCCTCCGTTCCAGCCATTATTATGAACCGTCCTCCCCTCAGCAGCCTCCACTGATCCTAATGTATGGATTCCCTCTATACATGCATTTTGGTCCACCTGAGACTCATCCTTTACCTGTGAGCCACGACGATGGTGGTCCGATTGGAGCACACTCTGGTGAGCGATGCCTGAATGTTGCGCTCGGTCTGTGTGTCTAGAGCAGATGTGGCCTGTGCAGAGGGAAAGCTTTATGAGATAGGTCACATGACTAAAATATTGAAGTTCAGTGAACTTGTATTAATCCACTGTAACACAATATGACAGGGGGATCAGTGGTGTGGGGGCAAACATTGGCCCTCTTTGAATACGTTAAGAATGCATCCTTGCTTCCTCTCGTCCTTGAAGAAATATCTGATCTGACATGGCTGGAATGGTGTAAGCTAAGTGATAGAGCCGTTGCGTTCACCTATCAATTTGTGTAAGCTTAGCGATAACTTCAAGGAGAGGAGGGAGGAAGTGTGTGTGTTTAAAGTATTTGAATGCTCTGGGGTGAAGTTTCCCCTAGGTAAAGATCTAGGACCAGCTTCCCCTCCCCAATTCTAAACTTAACCAAAAAAATAAGAAAAAATGCTAAACTGACTCAAGATCAGTGTCTAGGGCAAGGATGGGAAACTCCAGTCCTCGAGGGCCTGATTGGTGTCACACTTTTGCCCCACCCCCAGCTAACACACCTGACTCCAATAATCAACTAATCATGACCTTCAGTTTAGAAGTACTTTAAATAAGCTGTGTTTTCTAGGGATGGGGGGAAAAGTGTGACAACTCCGGCCCCCAAGGACTGGAGTTGCCTATCCCTGGTCTAGTGGCAGCTTCACCCTACACCTATTTGAACAGGGTCATTGACCCTCCTGGTGGCCCTTCCTGAAAGTTTACCTCATCCAGCAGGATGATCTGAGGGGCCTTGAGGATAGTCCGGGCGATAGCCACCCTTTGCTTCTCCCCCCCACTCAGCTTCAGACCCCTCTCGCCCACCTGGGTGTCATATCCTGGGAGGGGGACAGACACAGACAAAGACACAAATGTCACTCACCTCATACAGTAACAATGCACCTGGCACCTACTGTGTGACCTCTGCAAATCTCCCCACTTGTTTCAGGAAATGTAGATTTGCATGTAAATGCTTCAGCAAATGTGGTTGGTAAATACAAACACCTACACAAACCCTTAAAACAACAATATTGACACCCATAAACCAACTTCAGGTTAAGTACAGCCAGAATTATAATGGCAGCATACAGCGCTGGTTTCCAAGACACAGATTAAACCTAGTCCTGGACTCAATGTAGAATCTCTATTGAAATATTTGTTTTGTCCAGGACTAGGCTTATTTAACCCTTACCAGATAAATTGACTGAGAACACATACTTATTTACAGCAACGATCTGGGGAATAGTTACAGGGGAGATGAGGGGGGGCAAGAATGGGCCAATTGGAAGCTGGGGATGATTAAATTGCCATGATGATATGAGGGCCAGATTGGGAATTTAGCCAGGACACCGGGGTTAACACCCCTACTCTTACTAGGGCTGGGCAATATATCAAATTAATTCGATATGTTTTTGCACGATGTTCCAAATGCCTGTATCGCAAGACTCAAGGTTTTTATTTATTTCTGGTTTTTATGTGTGCTGTCTTTTTGGTCTCGTGTCCTTCGCGCCTTCTGTGTTGTGTACACCTTCCCACAGACAGCAAGTCCCTCCCCCTCCCCCTTCCACTCACAACAACAAAATACAAAATATAAACTTGCTATTTGCATTTGAAGTTTGGTCCAACAGAATCGGTCATATGGACACCGAAACGCTTAAACATTATTTTATGGTAATACACGAGAACTTAACCTTTCTAATGACACCCTTTTTATGTCTCAACTCCCAAAATGTAGAATAGAGCAGACCCTACTAAAACAAGAGTATCAAAATGAATGCTCAGTTTGTCGCTCAGTTTGTACCACTAGCAGCATTTTAGCCACAGACTTATGTGTTAGCGGTCTATTCTGTGTTTTATAAATGTGCAATGAGAATAAAAATATGCATTTATATAATGAATTGGCAACTCGTTCTCATTCTGAGAAATAAGCATCTTCTCATCCAGTTAGGCCACTTGGTTTCAATATCTAAACAAAGTGAATAGGCTATGTTGTTCAAACAGTTGGAGGTAGGAGGGTGTATACAGAACAGTTCAACTGTTCTACGTTGTTAGAAAGCAAATTGATACAAGTTAGCTAGACTTTAAATATAAGGTTTTGCTGGCTACTCACTAGCACATAGGCATGTGCTTGAGAGATTGTTTATGAGACCTGTGCTAATTTTCTATAATGCCTGCTACAAGAAAACGGTCATTATTAGTGGACGTGCATTTTGCTTGGTTCTGGTTACAAAAGGGCATTTTTATAGACAAACTTGAAAGCCAGATCAGTGATTATTGCAACAAAAAAAAAGCAGTTTAAATTAATTTTATAAAATTATACAATTATTAGTGGGTCTTATGGTTGTGGAAGGCTTATATTTAGCCTAGGTGTAATTCATTACATTATTCCTGACTGTTTGAAATGCAGTGTATTGAGCTTTAATTCTGCAACTACGCCTATTTGGAAAAACTTAAAATGAAAAAATAAATAAAAAATGAGACACTAGATGCTCGTCGAACATCCCATTCCAAAATCATGGGCATTAATATAGAGCTGGTCCCCCCTTTGCTGCTATAACAGCCTCTACTCTTCTGGGAAGGCTTTCCACTAGATGTTGGAACATTGCTGCGGGGACTTGCTTCCATTCAGCCACAAGAGCATTAGTGAGGTCGGGCACTGATTTTTGGGGGATTAAGCCTGGCTCGCATTCGCCGTTCCAATTCATCCCAAAGGTGTTCGATGGGGTTGAGGTCAGGGCTCTGTCTCCTGGAATCCACCAAACCCAGATTCGTCCGTCGGACGTGATTCATCACTCCAGAGAACGCGTTTCCACTGCTCTAGAGTACAATGGCGGCAAGCTTTACACCACCAGCCGACGCTTGGCATTGCGCATGGTGATCTTAGGCTTGTGTGTAGCTGTTCAGCCATGGAAACCCATTCATGAAGCTCTCGATGAACAGTTATTGTACTGACGTTGCTTCCAGAAGCTGTTTGGAACTCAGTAGTGAGTGATGCAACTGAGGACAGACGATTTTTACGCGCTACGTGCTTTCATCACTCGGCGGTCATGTTTTGTGAGCTTGTGTGGCCTACCACTTCGCGGCTGAGCCATTGTTGCTCCTAGACGTTTCCACTTCACAATAACAGCACTTACAGTTGACCGGCGCAGCTCTAGCAGGGCAGACATTTGACCAACTGACTTGTTGGAAAGGTGGCATCCTATGACGATGCCACATTGAAAGTCACGGAGCTCTTCAGTACGGGCCAATCTACTGCCAATGTTTGTCTATGGAGATTGCATGGCTGTGTGCTCGATTATATACACCTGTCAGCAACGGGTGTGGCTGAAATAGCCGAATCCACTAATTTGAAGGGATGTCTTCATACTTTTGGCCATGTAGTGTATTTATTGTGAATCACCCATACATTTGAAAATCATCTAGATATGATTTTTTGGCAATATCGCACAGCCTTAACTCTTATGATAAGTGCCATGGGATCTTTAGTGAACACAGAGAGTCAGGACATCCGTTTAACGACCCATCCGAAAGACAGTACCCTACACAGGGCAATGTCCCCAATCTCTGCCATGGGGCATTGGGATCTTTTTTTAGACCAGAGGAAAGAGTGCCTCCTACTGGCCCTCCAACACCACTGGATCTCCCATCCAGGGACCGACCAGCACCGACCCTGCTTAGCTTCAGAGGCAAGCTAGCAGTGGGATGCAGGGTGGTATGCTGCTGGCTTAATCGGTGTCCAGGAAACCGTCAAAAGAGACGGTGGTATTTCCGTACCTTCTGGGAACGTCTGGATCTTCTCATGAATGTCTGCGGCGATAGCCGCCTCCTCCACTTCGTGGTCGCTGGCGGAGACGCGCCCGTAGCGGATGTTGTCGCGGATGTTGTCGTTGAAGAGGACCGTGTCCTGGGGCACCACGCCGATGTGGGCACGCAGAGACACCTGCTTCACCTGCACCCAGAAATGAAGAGTCTCAGAAGACACTAAAGCAGTAAAGGGTGAACCGGGGAGGCACTACCTGGACTTGTAAAACCCCCAACTCAAAACGCATTGAAAACAAAATGTTATAGATAGCATGTGCTCACAAGACAGATAGCCTGGGAACTATTTTCTTGCAACTGGGCAAATTACTCACCTTAGAGATGTCCTGGCCATCGATGCGGATGCATCCCCCCTGGACGTCATAGAAACGGAAGAGCAGGCGAAGGATGGTGCTCTTACCGCACCCTGACTGGCCAACCTAGGGACGTCCACACACAAACACACACAGTTGAGAAGCGAGAACAATCGACAGATCCAAACCATCACGACTGTTGAGAAAATTGTTTTTAGACGAGACTGACTTTATGACCAAAATTATCTTTATTATCTTTAGTATCTTATTTACACTTTGTAGTCAATTCTGACACTAGAGTAACTGTTTCTGACTCATATCGATGCCACATAGGCCGTTTTCAAAGGGATTTGTTGCTTTTTAAAGGCAGTTGCTCTTTAACCTCTGGGTTATGCTTGGAATCCAATCTTACCAATGCAACAGTATGGCCTGGCTGCACAGTGAATGATACGTCCTTAAGAATCTCCTTCCTTAAAAAAACACAGAAGCACAAAAAATACAACGTAATCAAAGGAGAACACTGGAACAACCACGACTATGATTATTTAACAAACTGTTTCTGAATCATTATCTGTGTATAGCCAGTGGTTCATTTGTAAATTGGGAGGTGCCTTAACAAAAAGTGAGCCGAGAGGGGGGGTGACCTGGGCGGCTCTGAAGGACGGAACACACGAAAGAAAAAAGAAATCACCTTTATAATAAAGCATTGCATGCATATCATCGCTTTGCGTGCTGGCATAGAGCAGTAGAGCAGTAGAGTAGAGCCGCTTGCAGAAGCTGCACACATGGGATTTTTTTTTTTAAAGCCTAAAGTCTGGGAATTATTTTGTGTTTTATAAACGCATTTCATGCAATTCTACATAATTTTTGATGACTGGGGACTTTAGCAGAATCTTTTTTAATACCTCACAAATTATCGAAATGACAGGCTACTTTGACACTGACAAACAGAATCTGAGATCAATAAAAACGACCTTGTGTTGAATCCATCATTAGCCTAGGCCAGGGATCATCAACTAGATTCAGCCACGGGCCGATCTTTTCTTGAGCGGATGGTCGTGGGGCCAGAATATAATTACAAATCATTTGTAGACTGCAAATGGACCGCAAGAAACCCAACCAGACATAATGTTTGACTAAAACATAATCATTTCAAACCTTGCGTTTGTATACGATCACGTGTCTCTCTACTATGCGTGGGAATACTTGGGAACACATTTCTTAAATTAAAAGATTCCCTGGTGTGTGGAGAGACACATATTGTAAAATATGAAGAAATTATAGTCCTAAAAACGCTTTCCAGTTTCACTGACTCACCCAATGATGCGCAGCTCACTCATCAGAGATGGCCGATGCGCTAGTGCCAAAAGCCTCTCTCTCTCTTGTTTTATTGTAAAACAATGCTGTTCGCTCAATAGGCCTATTTGGAAGTTCATAACATACACTGCTCAAAAAAATTAAGGGAACACTAAAATAACACATCCTAGATCTGAATGAATGAAATAATCTTATTAAATACTATTTTATTTACATAGTTGAATGTGCTGACAACAAATTCACACAAAAAGTATTAATGGAAATCAAATTTATCAACCCATGGAGGTCTGGATTTGGAGTCACACTCAAAATTAAAGTGGAAAACCACACTACAGGCTGATCCAACTTTGATGTAATGTCCTTAAAACAAGTCAAAATGAGGCTCAGTAGTGTGTGTGGCCTCCACGTGCCTGTATGACCTCCCTACAACGCCTGGGCATGCTCCTGATGAGGTGGCGGATGGTCTCCTGAGGGATCTCCTCCCAGACCTGGACTAAAGCATCCGCCAACTCCTGGACAGTCTGTGGTGCAACGTGGCGTTGGTGGATGGAGCGAGACATGATGTCCCAGATGTGCTCAATTGGATTCAGGTCTGGGGAACGGGCGGGCCAGTCCATAGCATCAATGCCTTCCTCTTGCAGGAACTGCTGACACACTCCAGCCACATGAGGTCTAGCATTGTCTTGCATTAGGAGGAACCCAGGGCCAACCGCACCAGCATATGGTCTCACAAGGGGTCTGAGGATCTCATCTCGGTACCTAATGGCAGTCAGGCTACCTCTGGCGAGCACATGGAGGGCTGTGTGGCCCCCCAAAGAAATGCCACCCCACACCATGACTGACCCACCGCCAAACCGGTCATGCTGGAGGATGTTGCAGGCAGCAGAACGTTCTCCACGGCGTCTCCAGACTATGTCACGTCTGTCACATGTGCTCAGTGTGAACCTGCTTTCATCTGTGAAGAGCACAGGGCGCCAGTGGCGAATTTGCCAATCTTGGTGTTCTCTGGCAAATGCCAAACGTCCTGCACGGTGTTGGGCTGTAAGCACAACCCCCACCTGTGGACGTCGGGCCCTCATACCACCCTCATGGAGTCTGTTTCTGACCGTTTGAGCAGACACATGCACATTTGTGGCCTGCTGGAGGTCATTTTGCAGGGCTCTGGCAGTGCTCCTCCTGCTCCTCCTTGCACAAAGGCGGAGGTAGCAGTCCTGCTGCTGGGTTGTTGCCCTCCTACGGCTTCCTCCACGTCTCCTGATGTACTGGCCTGTCTCCTGGTAGCGCCTCCATGCTCTGGACACTACGCTGACAGACACAGCAAACCTTCTTACCACAGCTCGCATTGATGTGCCATCCTGGATGAGCTGCACTACCTGAGCCACTTGTGTGGGTTGTAGACTCCGTCTCATGCTACCACTAGAGTGAAAGCACCGCCAGCATTCAAAAGTGACCAAAACATCAGCCAGGAAGCATAGGAACTGAGAAGTGGTCTGTGGTCACCACCTGCAGAACCACTCCTTTATTGGGGGTGTCTTGCTAATTGCCTATAATTTCCACCTGTTGTCTATTCCATTTGCACAACAGCATGTGAAATTTATTGTCAATCAGTGTTGCTTCCTAAGTGGACAGTTTGATTTCACAAAAGTGTGATTGACTTGGAGTTACATTGTGTTGTTTAAGTGTTCCCTTAATTTTTTTGAGCAGTGTATTTGGTAGCCTACAGACAGGTTAGTCTTCTCTTTTCAGTAGAATCTATTTTCTTTCCAACCGATGTTTTCATACATGCTGTTCCCGGATGCAGGCATGCCTTGTGATTGGACTACACACAATCCACAGCTAGGCACATTTTTTTTATTATAAACTACTGATCCTGTGGCTAAATTATAGGCCTACTCCTGGTATAGTATTCTGAATTATTTAATTTATCTCTGAATAGACAGCAGTAATTCTATAACTTTGGCAAATGTATTTACATTTATCTGGGGTGCTGAGGCACCTCCAGCACCCTTCCCGGGGCTATGGTTCTATAAGGAAATAAATGAAGTGCAACGCTGGAGAGATGAGAGTTGCAGGCTCATGTCTATCAGAGCAGACGAGGGAGAAAGATCATAGAAAGTGAATCTCATTCTAGTTCTGAGAGAGATACATGCACGCCTCACTCACACACACACACATACACACACACACACCACAGCAATGGCCACACGTTGGTCTATACAGTCTATAACGTTGCGCAAACCATAAACCTGGGCCGGACCAACACAAATCAATTCTTAGAATATCAGGCATGTTTTCACATTACAGTTTTTAGGGGGTATGAGAATTACAGAGGAGGCACATTGAATTAACTGATTGATTTTATTATAAACAGTCCAAAATTGAGAGGTGCCGGATCATTAGTCCAAACAAGACCTAAAAATAATTCTAAGAGATCTAAGCCAGGACTTACCCGTCAATGTAGTTAAAGTACACATTCTCAAACTCCACTTTTCCCAGTTTATAGAGAAGGTTCCCTGCATTCACCACGTCCTTCACCTGAAGGGAAATCAAAAGTAAATCTATTTTTTACTAAAAAACGATTTCCCATAATGCAGTGCAAATAAATCCTGACAGACACCAAAATGCTGGTCATTGACTCTCGCGTAATTGTCAGCTGCTCGATTAAGTTCTGGGTCCATACATGTTAAGAGAAGAGATCAAATGCTAGAGTTAGTTACGGGCCGAATGTCTACTCAACTTCTGAAATTCGAAAGATGCTAAGACCTGCGAAATCGTGATTTGTCCAAATAACCAGTGTCGAAAAACCAAACACTGGAACAACTACTGCTCGTTATCCTACGCATCCCAATCTCTCGGTTTACACGCAGAATCTTCCCACGAGAGGTTGGTCATCATCAACATTAGTCATCGACAACCAATTTCAAAATTACCTCCTCTTCCTCGGCAAAGAGCTTAAACATGCTCTCCATGTCGATGAAGGACTTCTGGATTATTCTGTGGAGGAAGAAGTCGTATGTATTATACAGAGCCCGTTTTGCATTATGGGTACTGTAATACATGATACTATAAACAATGCCTTTCATAGATCTGTCTCAATAGTCTAGCTTCATTTGCTTGTGTCTTTCCTGATCTAGTAAGACAATGTGGAAGCAATAGGGTGGAAACATATACAGTCCATTTAGCTATAAGTGATTGACATAAAGGAGACTAGGGAAGGATGTAAGGAAGTATAATTGAAACCCAGCCCATAACAACTCTCACCTGTAGTAGGTTCCAAACCAGTTGAGAGGAGTGTAGAGCTGGATGATGTAGGTGCCAAAGAGGATAAAGTCTCCTAGCTGGGGATAAAGGGAACTAGCCTGGTTAAATGTATCATAATAACACTTCATACACCACATTTATTATTAAGAAAAACATGTAATATCACTCACTGTTATTGGATTTTCTTTAGCAAAACATTTTCAAACATGCAGTTTTCAAGCATGAAAACATAGCAAGGCTGCATGGCCTTGTAGTGATGCAATACGTCTGTGTTATGCATTTGTATTGATTTTGTTTGTCTGCAAGGCAAGCTGCACAAATAATTTCCTTATTAGAGTACAATAAAGTTTTCTAATCTAATGTAGGACAGAGCTGAAAAACTGCGTAGCAGAGAAAAGTGGCGTGAGATTGAAGTTCTGGGTTCATACATGTTAAGAGAAGAGATCAAATGCTAGAACGAGAAGCGGAACAAGGAGCTCCACCCTCTCTCTTCGCAAGTTATGGGCCGAATGTCTACTCCACTTCTGAAATTTGAAAGATGCTAAAACCTGCGAAATCTTGATTTGTCCAAATAACCATTGTCTAGGCCCTTAACATGAAGTTGTAAAATACTGAACTCCCCTTTTAAATGGTTTATCATCCTGAAAGTGTCTGCTTAACGAAAACCAAACCATGGATTACAGTTTGTCCTGGCTCATAGACTATTGTCAGGGTGAGGAACCATGTTACATTCATTTGTAAAATACTGAACTTCCCCTTTAAGAGTAATTCCATGTCATTTCTGCAATCCATGACACCCACCATCTCAGATTTTTCTGAAATCGTTTCTGTAGTTAGTATATTTATTGAAGATTATACTATAAATTAAAATAGTCAATTTGGGTGCAATCAATTAGCTTAATTCATCAGAGATCAAATAATATATTTAAACAAAACAATGTTTCAGGAATGCTAATCGTTTCAGCACAATCTGAGATGGTGGGTGTCAAAATCCTCTTTCTTCCGCTTTTCGAGGTGGAACGACCCTTAAGCCAGCAAGCACTCTGAGCTCAGTACCTTAAACTTGCCCTCCTGGACAAAGTAGGCACAGAGCAGTGAGCCTGTCAGTAGGCCTGAGCCGATGATCAGGTTCTGGGTCTGGTTCAGGAAGGCCAGAGAGGCTTGGGTCTTCCATTCTGAGATCTAGGACGGGAGGGGACAGACCGCAAATACAACATTACAATCAATAGAGTTATAGCCTGGTCCCAGATCTGCTTGTGCAGGGGGAGAGAGAGAGAGATGTACAGAGGGAGGGTCTGGAGAACCTCTAACTATGCATCTCAGCTGGTCAAACACATCTCCCTGAATAAACAAAACAAGCACTCTGGTGTAACTTTACACAGATCTACATTCTCAACTCTTCAGCGTTTGGCATCTATGGTCTAGATTACCTGATACTTCAGGATGGCGTCCTCAAAACGGTTCACTTCATAATTTTCTGCGTTGTAGTACTTCACCTGTTGGAAAAACGCCACAATCGCAGTCATGAAGCAACTTTGAAGCTGCAAAATGTAATATGTTTGTGGATAGCTTCATGTGCCAGGTAGGGATTCTCGATCGTGTTCATTAGGTACTTAAACAGGGAGAGACTACCTATACATTTTCCGCTGTGTGCCCTAATGAACACGACCCAAGTATTGAGGTTATAAGTCAATGGGAGCGTCTCCGTACCGTCTCAAAGTTGAGCAGGGAGTCCACTGCCTTGGACTTGGCGTTGTTGTCCTGGGTGTTCATGTCTCGCCTGTACTTAGTCCTCCATTCCGTGATGATGATGGTAAGGGCTGGAGCGATATATTGATGGACCATTATGAAATATTACATTGTTATTACCAGGGGTTGGAACCGGTTCAGGGAACAGAACTAAAAACCGAAATAACAAAAAATGAAGAACGGAAACAGAACTGGGAACGAAAGTGATCTCTAGTGTTCCAGAATATAACCGTTCTTTTTTAATCTTGAGAACCGGTTAATAATGTTATTTTTTGCTAATTAACTGCTAATGTGGCTATCATAAAGAACTACAAATGTCATGATCTGGACGAGACTGCTGAATCGAAGCAAAGGTAAGAATCTCTGAATTAACTATCTAATGTTAGCTAAATTGAGTAATGAATAAATTGGCAACATTTCTTTAAAACTGACAATTCTGTGAACTGTCTTGTGTAAGTTTTAAAATGTACACAATACCTGTTAGCAAAGGTGTCAGCTAGAGATGACCTGCAGGAGTTTGCAGGGATTTGTAGTCTTGTATGATGTCTACTTTGATGCTAATTAGCATTTTCGATTCTGAGAGTCAATAGAGCTGAATATATTGGCTTTTTTTTAAACTTAGGTTTATTTAGTAAATATTTTCTTAACTCTTATTTTCTTAAAACTGCCTTGTTGGTTAAGGGCATGTAAGTAAGCATTTCACGGTAAGGTCTATACCTGTTGTTTTTGGCGCATGTGACAAATACAATTTCATGTTAATATTGATAAAAGTCACCTTGTCCGAGGGAGATTTACATGGTTATCAAAACATCACGCCAGGGTAAGCCTACACGAAACACAGCCCTTATTTTAAGTGTTTCTAAAACTCCCTATGGGAAAAATGAATGGTGGAAAAACAATTGGAACCATTTCCCTGTTTGACCGCTAGGTTTATGGGTATTATGACACCTCCACTGTTGGGCTCTATAGCCTAAGCACATTCCAGTTCATGTCATGTCATGATGTTCAGCGATTCAAGCAAAGCACCCTCCATGTCCACCCCTCTCTCTCGCACTCTCCCCACCGGTGAAATTTCCGTCGCATCTCACGCCTGCACTTATCTGTAATGTAAATCTGACCAATCATAAATGTAAACTACTAGCTGACATTTGACAAAAACAATTCTCAAGTGTCATTTTTCATGAAATGTACTCTTAGATCACTGAGATTAGGATCTGTACTTATCTATTTCATAATTATTCATATGTTTTTTTATCAGATATTATGCATTCTACCTCAATTTCTACAAAATTCACATTACCACAACAGTTCAAAAAAGTAATAAACAAATACATTTCTAATATTATTTATCATTGCTCCCATAATGAAAAGGCCGGAGTTAAACATAACACTGAACACTAAAATAAAATTATAAAATAGAGAAAAAAAGAAAAATATGTTTTCCCAATTTGAGCTTTTTAGCCATTACGGTAATGAGAAGGCCAAGTTGGGTAAAGGGGGTGTTTGAGAAGAATAACCTCATTCTGAAGGTATATAAGTGAATAAATTAACTTAACTTCAACTACTCCTCTAGATGATGCATCATGGGTGAATACAACTTTATTTAAAAACAGAGTTTTTACAGGAACTTTAAAAAGTGTTTAGGCAATGAGACATGTCTACAGACACTGTTTTTTTACGTTATAAATATTATAGTTTAATGTAAACTTCAACTAGTATGCCATAGGTTTTTCTAAAGTAAAATTGTATAAAATGACCCAAGAATTTAAATTAATTTGGAGTGTAAATCTATACAATTCTGGCGAAAATGTAAAATGTATTTAAAATAAGACATTTTGCCAAAAACAAGACATCTTACTTAGACCTTAGAATGATAGTTGATTTTTGCAGAAGCATCATGGTTTTGTAACTCAATTTGCTACAGACATGTTTAAAACTGGTTTCATGAGAATCAACTCTCTATCCATGCTAATGAGTCAAGTAAATGAATGAGCTATTTTGTAAAAACAACGTTGATTTCACAGGTTAAAAAAAGAACGAAAAGGAACTATATGAACAGTTACTTTTCTGGGGTTCAAACAGGTTCAGAAATGTATTTTCTGGTCAGAACACTGGAACAAAAGAAATAGGGGTTCTGTTCGAAACTGATGAGAAATCTTTTCAGGTCCAACACCTGGTTATTAATAATAATAATAATAATATGCCATTTAGCAGACGCTTTTATCCAAAGCGACTTACAGTCATGCGTGCATACATTTTTGTGTATGGGTGGTCCCGGGGATCGAACCCACTACCTTGGCGTTACAAGCGCCGTGCTCTACCAATTGAGCTACAGAGGACCACATTATTACCAGACCTCGGTCATACTGTTCGTCACATACTTTCAAGTAGGCTTGATTTTGTTTGGAGTTGATTTAGCTTACACTTTTGGAACTACTCCATTGTTGCAGCTCAAGTAATTGAAAATTACATCACATATTTGACTCAGATCAGATTACTATTATCTTATAAAAACAACTGAATTAGTTCTGGAAAGGAGGCCTTGTACTCACTGAGGTAGAGGAACATGCAGACGAATACGATGAGTCCGAACCAGGCGTTGAAGTAGGTGATGAAGTAGATGATGGAGATGATGATATCTGCGATGGTGGGGAAGATGCTGAATACGATGTAGCTGTGGAGAGAGAGAGAGAGGGAGGCCAGGTTTACCGACACAGAAAGTCAGACATTCAGACAAAGGAACATTTACAGACTGTCCAGAGGTTAGGACGACACCAAGAAACTAAGACATACTACAGGGGGATGGATCATAGTTACACAGTCTGGCAAGTAGAAATTGAAGGTGGAATCAATTTTAAGGTGGAAAAGAGAACAGTTTAGGCTTAATTGCTCTTTTGTAGGATAGAGCAAACACCTGAGGAAGCAGTATCTAAGCTTTGAGGATAAAGTAAATTAGATCTAGATCAAATATGTATGTAAAATACTTTCAAACACTTGAGCTGTGATTGATACAGTTAGTCTGGTACTATGTAGCCAATGGAATAGTCCCACAAGGGCAAAGCTAAGGCCAAGCTAAATCAAGCATACCTCAGACCATTGTTCCCTCAAATATGTTTTGGCACTGAGCAAATTTCAGGTCTGCTAAGCGTAAACTTGAACATTGTGAAAATTCTGTGCAACTTCCGGCGGGGGTTTACTGTGAACACTGAGGCTGCTGTACATACTTTAAGTTACAGTTAACAGTGGTCAAGTAGGCTACTGTGGCTATTAGATCATAATGTTGGCCTACCAGTGCCGTATCGTCAAAAACAATGGAGAAAATGTATTCCATAACATTTTAACATGGAAATAACTGTTCTATCATTCAGCCTACAGTAGCAGCCAATGTGAGTTGTTCAATGTAGTCCTACATTCCATAACACTTTTGAAAAAACAAAAACATGCATGGCTTGACATTAACCTGTTTATCCACTTGTCCTTCAGACACGGAGGTGACTGAAAATGTTGTTGTGGTGTTTGATGCAAGAAACCACTTTACAAAATAAAATCATTATTCCCATACCATTATTACAGAGAATCAGACAAATTATGCTATCCTCTGCATATTGGCTACTTAGCTTTTTCAAGCAATCACTCCCCCATTGCGGACTACAAATGATCTATAACTGGGCTAATAACTCACTCACTAGCAAAGGATATGAACGAATATGCACAGGTGGCTACATGTAGCTCTCGCTTTGATCTCAAAACAAGCGTATCTACTAACGACCACTCATGCTGTAAACACAGTCCAGTTCAAAGTGAGTGGCACAGGTTCCATATTTCCATATATGGCAATGGTCTATTTGCATATAGGCCTACTGCAACTCTGATTGGTTATGGCGCACCGGTCTGTGTATAGAGTACGGGCCTGAGTCTTGCCTGTCAATCCGATGCGCTCTCCCTACAACAAAATCTCTTGGATAGTTTGTTTTGTTTCGGTATGTTGCATTTAAAGTGGCTAATATTGCGTTGATTCGATCGCAATTACAACAGTAAAAGGAAAACATTGGTAGTGTTATCTTACGGGGGAAACTCTAGAAAGTTGGGTGAAGTTCAATATGATATGATATTTCTTCTGCGCAGTAGTCCCGGGGGAGCTGCGCGCCCATCTTAGAGGGAACATTGCCTCAGACAGTGTTTGACATATCCGACCAGTGTCTGAAAGTAATCATTTGTAATCTACGGCAGGTGAGTTTCCCTCTTATAATGGGTGTGTTCGTAAATTCAATCTGGAGTGCCAGAGTGCACTCAGAATGCATTGTCAGATTGTCTCTTCGTAAATTCAGAGCGTTTCGCTCTTAGAGCGTTCAGAGCGCACACTGGACGCTCTGGCCGAGGGTTGATCCGAGCATTCTGACCTCACAACGGCAGTCAAGCACCCAAGCTAATTGGCTAACATTGGCTAGCTTGCTAGTTACTTCCAGACACAAATGAGAGAGAATCTCACTGACCATTTTACTCACCCTAGCAGAGCTGGTTAGGGCGTTTTCATGTTATCCAGAGCATTGGTGACTGTAACTGTGCTGCTGGCAACAATTTAATTATGCTTTTTTGCTGACGTTTACTGACACCGGCCATATTCAACGGGTGTTGAGCGTTCGTAAATTCATCAGTTATTCTGCGCTCTGGCACACTCAGACGAGAGTGCTCTGAAATCGGAGAAGATAGCCAGAGTAAATTTACGAACGCACCCAACATAAAACGCTTAGAAAAATGCTATATAACTCCAACACACGCACGCACACAAACACACACCAGACCTGGGCAGAAAGTTGTTTATTTAAAAATACAAACTTTTCAAATACTCTATCTAGGTAGTCGAATATAGAGTTTAAAATATAGCGTTTTCAAAGGCAATACTTTTCTTTGATATTCAAATACAGATCTAAAAAAAACTAATAATATTTGAAAGTATTTTGAATATTAAAGGTATTTGAATATATGCAAGTTAATTGAAAGCCAACTAATATTTATTTGATTGCTGCCAAGTATTTGATGAAGAACCAAAAACTATAACAGTTAATTTAATTAGTCTAAATATATAATATTAGCACGTGGTTTGGAGGACTGGAATTAAATATGTGAGGGACATGGAATGATCTCAACATTAGAGTAGACCACTTTTGCAGCTTCAAAATGACTAACATATATATTTTCATAATGAGTGCGACATAAGGTAATACATCTGTAGTAACCTTGTGATTATTACAATAGCAACATTGTTGCAATTTAGGACTTTGCTTTATAATTGCATAATAGGGGAGTTATTACATAAGTGGGATAAGGAACAGTCACTATTCCTCTTATAGTAACAGTAGTTACAAAAACTCTGCTAATTGCTATGCAATTAAAATACAATATTACCAAAGTATTATGTAACATGCAAATCAAATTTGTTTTATTACACAGGTATAAGAACAGTTTAATGTTAAGTGTTACTGAGAATGATAACAGTTACAAAATAAGGCTTTTAATGTCGACACGAAACTAAATATCCAAGAACTGCCTTCAACTACAGCCAATGTTTGTACAGTTGAAATCGTAAGTTTACATACACTTAGGTTGGAGTCATTAAAACTCCTTTTTCAACCACTCCACAAATTTCTTTTTAACAAATTATAGTTTTTGGCAAGTCGGTTAGGACATCTACTTTGTGCATGACACAAGTAATTTTTCCAACAATTGTTTACAGACTGTATCACAATTCCAGTGGGTCAGAAGTTTACATAGACTAAGTTGACTGTGCCTTTAAACAGCTTGGAAAATTCCAGAAAATTATGTCATGGCTTTAGAAGCTTCTGATAGGCTAATTGACATAATTTGAGTCAATTTGAGGTGTACCTGTGGATGTATTTCAAGGCCTACCTTCAAACTCAGTGCCTCTTTGCTTGACATCATGGGAAAATCAAAAGAAATCAGCCAAGACCTCAGAAAACAAATTCTAGACCTCCACAAGTCTGGTTCATCCTTCATTCCAAACGCTGAAAGGCTGCTCAGCAAGGAAGAAGCGACTGATCCAAAACCGCCATAAAAAAGCCAGACTACGGTTTGCAACTGCACATGGGGACAAAGATCGTACTTTTTGGAGAAATGTCCTCTGGTCTGATGAAACAAAAATTGAACTGTTTGGCCATAATGACCATCGTTATGTTTGGAGGAAAAAGGGGGATGCTTGCAAGCCGAAGAACACCATCCCAACCGTGAAGCACCGGGGTGGCAGAATCATGCTGTGGGGGTGCTTTGCTGCAGGAGGGACTGGTGCTCTTCACAAAATAGATGGCATCATGAGGGGAAGGAAAATTATGTGATATATTGAAGCAACATCTCAAGACATCAGTCAGAAAGTTAAAGCTTGGTTGCAAATGGGTCTTCCAAATGGACAATGACCCCAAGCATACTTCCAAAGTTGTGGCAAAATGGCTTAAGGACAACAATGTCAAGGTATTGGAATGGCCATCACAAAGCCCTGACCTCAATCCTATAGAAAATTTGTGGGCAGAGCTGAAAAAGCATGCGCGAGCAAGGAGGCCTACAAACCTGACTCAGTTACACCAGCTCTGTCAGGAGGAATGGGCTAAAATTCACCCAACTTATTGTGGGAAGCTTGTGCAAGGCTATCCGAAACGTTTGACCCATGTTAAACAATTTAAAGGCAACGCTACTAAATACTAATTGAGTGTATGTAAACTTCTGACCCACTGGGAATGTGATGAAATAAATAAAAGCTTAAATAAATAATTATCTGTACTATTATTCTGACATTTCACATTCTTAAAATAAAGTGGTGATCCTAACTGACCTAAGACAGGGAATTTTTACTAGGATTAAATGTCAGGAATTGTGAAAAACTGAGTTTAAATGTATTTGGCTAAGGTGTATGTAAACTTCCGACTTCAACTATATGTAAAAGCTATTTCTTCTACTTTCAGGTTTTCCGAACTCACTTCACTCGCGAATAAGAGGGAGGCTTGTGCCACTGATTCTGGCACATGCGCAGATCAAATTCACTGCTGGAACGCCGATTAAGCGGTTTATATGTCCTAATAATTCAAAAGACTGCTCAGAAAATCAGGTGTTTTAATCGGCGTATGCTTACTTCGATTTTGACCTTTTAAGATAAGCAGAGTAAGGTGTTTACATGACTATTGTCATACTCGGCCTACTGCCATAATCAGTTTAATATCGAATTATTAGTGTGCATGTAAACGTACTCATTGACACACACACAATTTATTATTAGGAGACTCACCTGAGCAGGCTGTTGATGGAGGCGGTGCCGCGGTCGATGCTGCGCAGGACGTCCCCGGTGCGCCGGCCCAGGTGCCAGCGCATCGACAGCGAGTGCAGGTGGCCGAACAGACGCACCTGCACCACCCGGTTGGTGTACTGCTGCACGCGGATCCACAGGAAGGAGCGTATGTTACTGATGAAGCCAGAGGCACCTAGGAAAGAAAGGAGAAAGAAAGTGGAGGGGAAGGGGGAGAGCGTGGTTGGGGAGAGAGAAAGGGAAGGCGAAAGGGGAGAGGAGTGATAGAGACCGAGGAAACAAGAGAGATAATTAAAATAACAGCACTCAAGGAGTCCAAGGAATGGGTAAAGTGGTAGAGAAAGAAAATATGGGGTTTAAGTCCCACTCACCTGCCCCTCCACCTTGCAGGAACTTGAGCAGGACGTAGAGACACACAGTGGTGACCAAGGTCTTCCAGCTGCTTCCATCAGTCAGCTCATTCACTGTGACAGAGAAAGGAATGACAGTTCCAGGTCATCTTTTCTGCAGTTGTGCTGGGTAGATATTCAGATGTCAGCCTCAATGATATCACAAAGCCTTCAAAAAATTTTAATAATAAAAGGTGTTCAGAAAAAAGCTGGTTCTAGGGCAGACATTCAGAAATGAGGGAGGATCTCTCACCGATGTTCTTGTAGTAGATGGGCACAAAGACGTTGATGACCCTCTCCACGCCAAGCAGGCACAGGCAGAGCAGCACCAGGCCCTGTAGTAGAACATTGCCCCGGGGCCACATGTAGGGCACCAGCAGACGCACCTTCTGCCCAAACCCCTGCCAGGTAGACTGGGACTCCTCCGCACCATCCAACAGGGGCTGAGGTAGAGATAGAGATAGGGGTTATTATGGGACATGGTGGCATAGCACACCTACTATGCTATGCAGACAGACACACATTACAAACTTACACACACAAACTGAATCAGGATACATTCTTATTTATACAGTCATTGGATATTATACACACATAAGGGATGTGATTATAGGTTACCTGGCCAGTGCCGCCCTCCACATCACGTTCGTCCTCGTTGATCAGGAGCATGTATGGTCTCTGTGGCAACCCCGGAGCCTTCAGGCCCAGGAAGAAGAGTGTTCCTGTGCCGAGGTAGCGCATCAACCACAGAGAAAACTCCACCTCAGGTAATGAATGAAAAATGCTTAGTCATAACTGAACCTTTAAAGGGGCAATCCGCAGTTGAAACAATAACAAAGTGGGCACCCTGCCTGTTTTGGTAAAAAGTTGAGGGATGTGCCTGGAGAAATGAAACCACTCAAATTCATAGACCAAGCTATGTGTGCAAGGACTGACCATCCATAATATAAAAATTATAGTTTTAAATCATGCTTTGAGGCTATACAGTGTTTGTTAACATTTACAATGTTACCAACCATTGGAGTAAAACAAGCTTATATTTTGGGTTCTGATGGGGTGTGAAAGCTGAACTAAGCTTATGAGGCATTTTAAGTTATATTCTTCAAGAATCAATCAGAAAGTTTTAAGTCTTGAAATCTTTGGTTGTTTACTACCTTACTCACTCTGTTTAGCACATGGCCTTACATGTGAATCCTTAAAGAGATGGGTGGGGCTAAGGCTTAAGAGGGTGTGAACACTGCTGAATAGGTGTAAACAAAGAAGAGCTCTTTAGTAGGTGTACCAAAACATTCATGTGCATTCAAGGGCATTGTACACAATTTTGAAGCTCTGAGTCAGTACTTTTATCCAATGTAGAAAAAATAAATAATTTCGGAACATAAGACTGAAAAACCTAGGTCACATACAGTGAATGATTTATAAGTCCAAAAATGTGATGCAGCAACTGAAGATTGATCCTTTAAAGGAATACTACACTCAAAAACTATATTTTAGTATGTTGTCCATTAGTGCACTGTTAATTCAATCCCAATGGGACACAGACAGTGACTGTATAGAGTAAACTACTCTACACATTACAACACAAAGTAAACAGTGGACTGTGTAATATACATTGTGGTATAACGACTAGGGTTGAATATTTTCCTGGTATTTTACAAATGTTCCATCCCGAGAATAAATCACTTTTCTCCCGGGTAACACGGTATTTCCCGCCAAAACCGGAAGTGCCCATCAAAAGCAGTATAAAGCATATAAATAGGCCTATGTCTGGATTTGACTAGAGCTTTGATCTAAAATTCAAGCCTGAAGCTACCTGAGCCTGATGAGCCATACATTAAATACATTTTATGAGCCCTACATTAAAAATACATTTAATGAGCCCAAGCCCAAAAAAGCCCAAATGATTGTGCCGTTATCCAATACATACAGTATATGATATAGGCTACTGCACATTACGCAAGACAGAAAAACATAAAAGCCCATAGTTGTAGCTAGCCATATGCTCTCTTCAGTAAATAAATTAAACTAGCTCCAGCATGCTAATCATTGAGTGTGAAATGTATTACTGTACTGTATTATACTGTATTATATGGACTGAAATTACGCACATCGTTCAAGCCATGATAAAGCAGGGAGATAGCATGCAATTCTGGTGCAGCACATGCGGCCTACAAAGTTACAAGTAGCCTATAGGCTAGTGAATATGATTTTAACTTTGAAATATAATAAGGCCTATTTGTAAAGTTAGTAGGCTAACACATATATACCTTTCATAATATTTCCCCTAATGTTATTAGCCTACCTCATCTCCTTTTGTTGCTTCATTCCTTCCTCGCTTTCAACAGTTGTCCTTATCTTCATCATTCTAATGACATCCTTAAATAATATAGGACTAGAATTAGATGCAGAAGGCTTTCACTTCTCTTCACGAAGATTGAATGGTTATGGGTCTGAATAAATAACTGATATAGCCTACTGCCATCGCATGTTCGCTCTTCTTTCAAACTACCCGTGAGTTCTATAATGTCCATCAAGCTATTCTAGTCTAGCTTTTCCTGCATGGGACTCCAAAAGCTAAGGAGAGTTTTTTAAGTAGAGGCCAGCGGTGCACAGGTGCGTGCGTATTACGCAAGAGACATAGGCTATAAGTTAGATGCTTATATGCATAACCCATCATTAATTCGCTAAATATAAGGCTAATACTGCATTGAATGTATTACCTGAAAGAGGTAGGCTAGGATATCTATATACAGTTTACACATACATACATACATACATACATACATACATACATACATACATACATACATACATACATACATACATACATACATACATACATACATACATACATACATACATACATACATACATATATATACACTTTTGGAAAGAATTCAGACCCCTTGACTCTTTCCACATTTTGTTAGGTTACAGCCTTATTCTAAAATTGATTACATTGTTTTTTCCCCTCATCAATCTACACACAATACCCCATAATGACAAAGCTAAAACATGTTTTTAGAAATTGTTGCTAATTTATTAAATATAAAAAACAGAAATATCACATTTACATAAGTATTCAGACCCTTTACTCAGTACTTTGTGGAAGCACCTTTGGCAGCGATTACAGCCTCGAGTCTTCTTGGGTATGAAGCTACAAGCTTGGCACACCTGTATTTGGGGAGGTTCTCCCATTCTTCTCTGCAGATCCTCTCAAGCTCTGTCAGGTTGGATGGGGAGTGTTGCTGCACAGCTATTTTCAGGTCTCTCCAGAGATGTTTGATCGGGTTCAAGTCAAGGCTCTGGCTGGGCCACTCAAGGACATTCAGAGATTTGTCCCGAAGCCACTCCTGCGTTGTCTTGGCTGTGTGCTTAGGGTCATTGTCCTGTTGGAAGGTGAAACTCGCCCCAGTCCGAGGTCCTGAGCACTCTGGAGCAGGTTTCATTAAGAATCTCTCTGTACTTTGCTCCGTTCAGCTTTGCCTCAATCCTGACTAGTCTCCCAGTCCCTGCCGCTGAAAACATCCCCACAGCATGATGCTGCCACCACAATGCTTCACCGTAAGGGTTTGGTGCCACGTTGCCTCCAGACATGACGCTTGGCATTCAGGCTAAAGAGTTCAATCTTGGTTTCATCAGACCAGAGAATCTTGTTTCTCATAGTCTGAGAGTCTTTAGGTGCCTTTTGGCAAACTCCAAGTGGGCTGTCATGTGCCTTTTACTGAGGAGTGGTTTCCGTCTTGCCACTCTACCATACCTGATTGGTGGAGTGCTGCAGAGATGGTTGTCCTTCTGGAAGGTTCTCCCATCTCCACATAGGAACTCTAGAGCTCTGTCTCTAGAGCTCTGTCAAAGTGACCATTGGGTTCTTGGTCACTTCCCTGACCAAGGCCCTTCTCCCCCGATTGCTCAGTTTGGCCGGGCAGCCACCTCTAGGAAGAGTCTTGGTGGTTCCAAATGTCTTCCATTTAAGAATGATGGAGGCCACTGTGTTCTTGGGGACCTTCAATGCTGCAGACATTTTTTGTCCCCTTCCCCAGATCTCTGCCTCGACACAATTCTGTCTCGGAACTCTACGGACAATTCCTTTGACCTCATGGCTTGGTTTTTGCTCTGACATGCACTGTCAACTGTAGGACCTTATATAGACAGGTGTGTGCCTTTCCAAATCATGTCCGATCAATTGAATTTTCCACAGGTAGACTCCAATCTAGTTGTAGAAACATCTCAAGGATGATCACTGGAAACAGGATGGACCTGAGTCTCATAGCAAAGTGTCTGAATGCTTATGTAAATAAGGTATTTTTCTGTTTGTAATTTTTCGAAATACCTGTTTTTCGCTTTGTCATTATCGGGTATTGTGTGTAGATTGCTTTTTAATCCAGTTAATAAATTTTAGAATAAGGCTGTACCGTAACAAAATGTGGAAAAAGTCAAGGAGTCTGAATACTTTCTGAAGGCACTGTATACATAATACTGAACAAAAAAAAAGCCAAGTGACATTTACTCCAGATGTACTGACCTGTTGCAAACTCTACAACCACTGTGATTATTATTTGACCCTGCTGGTCATCTATGAACGTTTGAACATCTTGGAGAAAAATCTGGCCTTAATGGCCATGTACTGCTATAATCTCCACCCGGCACAGCCAGAGCCCTGGTTCCTCTCTAGGTTTCTGCCTTTCTAGGGAGTTTTTCCTAGCCACTGTGCTTCTACATCTGCATTGCTTGCTGTTTGGGGTTTTAGGCTGGGTTTCTGTATAGCACTTTGTGACATCTGCTGAAGTAAAAAGGGCTTTATAAATACATTTGATTGATTGATAAAATGTTGGTCCCATGTTTCATGAACTGAAATAAAAGATCCCAGAAATGTTCCATATGGACAAAAAGCTTATTTCTCTCAAATGTTGTGCACAAATTTGTTTACATCCCTGTTAGTGAGTATTTCTCCTTTGGCAAGACAATCCATCTACCTGACAGGTGTGGCATATCAAGAAGCTGATTAAACGGCATGATCATTACATAGGTGCACCATGTGCTGGGTACAATAAAAGGCCACACTAAAACGTGTAGTTGTCACACAACACAATGCTACAGATTTTGAAGGAGCGTGCAATTGGCATGCTGACTGCAGGAATGTCCACCAGAACTGTTGCCAGAGAATGTAATGTTTATTTCTCTACCAAACATTTTGTTTTTGAGAATTTGGCACTACGTCCAACCGGCCTCACAACCGCAGCCACGTGTAACCACCCAGCCCAGGACCTCCACATCCGGCTTCTTTACCTGCGGGATCATCTGAGACCAGCCACCCAGACAGCTGATGAAACTGAGGAGTATTTCTGTCTTTAATAAATCCCTTTTGTGGGGAAAAACTCATTCTGATTAGCTGGGCCTGGCTCCCCAGTGGGTGGCCTAGTCATGTGAAATCCATAGATTAGGGCCTAATGAATTTATTTCAATTGACCGATTTCCTTATATGAACTGTAACTCAGTACAATCGTTGAAATTGTTGTCTTATATATATATATATATATATATATATATATTTATATTTATTTGGGGGAGTGGCCAGAGGGAGAGGAATGTGGAAGGGCAAGATGGGACAGTGACTCAGCACTTCAAGAGTTACTCATAGCTGACTAATGATCATGGCTTCTCCCCCTTCCACTGCTGTTTAATGGTTGGAAAACCAGTTTCTATTTTAGCAGTTTTAATGTGAGAAACTGCTTTGTAATAGATTGTTAAAAAAAAAAAAATCACAACACTCATGATGAATAAGGGCTTTAGAGGTTATTAAGTAGGTACTTGATAAGAACCATTTTAAATCTAGCCTATGTGTCCCATTTACATGGATATCACACCCTATGAGCAGACTAACTTACTTTTTTATAAAGCCCACTACTACACTTGTGTAATGGAGTGTTGAAACTAAGTTTAATACTAATATCAAGCAACATTATATGTCAACGTTTGAACAACCTCAATGAAACTATGGAGTGGGATGGCAGTTCATCCTCACTGAGGGTTGAGCTGTGGGGTTAATTCAAAGAGGTGAAACATTTGTAACGATGCAGATAGAAAGGCAATGAAACGATCTAACACCATTTCCAGCTTAACCTGACAATTAAACGTTTGTTCTACAACAATATACTTCTATCTGAAGGTCCTGTAATGCTACACTCCCCTGAAATGACTCCAGTGCCACGTTCAGTAGGCAAACATTGTGCAACGTTCAGATATAAATAAATAATGTATAATAGACGTGCCTCTCTGAGTAATTTGTAGACTGAGGACATTCTAAAATGTTACACCTTCCTGAACATACCCCTCCTCTCTCACCTGCTTCTGTGTGTTCTCCAGGCCCCACCACCAGTAGGGGCTGGCCCAGGAGACGAAGGCCAGGTTCTCCGCCGAGAATGCCACAGCCCAGAAGAGCAGCAGCACCGTGCTGTGGCCCCGCGTCCGGTCCCTCACCAGAACCCTCCTCCTCTCCAGCCTTAGCAGGGCCACGGCCCAGACCCAGCCCAGCATGGACAGGCAGCCGTACAGCACCACGTAGCCAGGGAGTTCCCCTACCCCGCCTCCACCAGTCGCCCTCCACACCAGCCCCCCCAGGAACTGCAGCAGGAGGAGCAGGGAGACTGCCAGTTGGAGGCCATAGAGGCGCGAGCGCGGTATGAACTTGGGCTCCATCTCGGTGCCGTAGCGGCGGTAGCAGACGCAGTGGAAGGTGCCGAAGAAGAAGGAGAGGGTAAGCAGGACGGTGGGCACCAGGGTGAAGTAGAAGCAGGGTGAGATGCCGCCCTCCAGCCAGGCTTCGGAGATGGAAGCGCTGGCCTCACAGTAGCTTTGCACTGCCACCATGGTGGCTGGGAGCTGGGGAGACAGGGAGGGGGAAAGAGAGTACTCACTATTACAGACATATTACTACAACATTAGGCCTACACATAGGGCTCAAGATCATCATCCTGGTCCACATGGATGTTAAGAGATTTTTAAAAGGCAGGACTGGCGAAGGAAATCATACAGTAGACTGCATGAAATTAGTTTTCTAAAATACATTCTCTACAGTATTTTCGGATTTGCACCGGACCTTATTTGTATCCTATTCTAAACTGCTATTCATGATGACGTTTAACTAGTCTAACTTCTTCAATTCATAACTCCCCCAGCAGCGATCAAAAGTGAAGTTAGTCAACACAATGAACACTTGTTCATTATTTTGCAGGACAAACATGCTATATGCTACCCTACTTAACGTATCAGGGTCAAGAGCAGATTGAATCTCAGTGTGCGTGTTGTACTATGAAGCAAAACACAGCAAGCATCTCTTCCTAGTCTATAATGATTCAACAGACTTGAATAGGCCTAAGAGATCCAGGCCAGCCCTGCTATATCGGGCTGTGAACTTTACAATATGGTTAGTGCTTCAGTCATGGCTCCTAACAGCACCCCAGCCAGTCAGGCGAATCCACACCCCATAGTGTCATCTGGAGTGGGCGAAGGACCAATTCTGATTCAGTCAAGGAAGTTATGACACATAATATTTCATCAACTGATATTCATTCAAAATATCACACTAGAATTAGGTTACAGTGGTATGCCGACACATGGCTAATGTACCATGGAGTAGCTTGGCATGTTGGAACGAAGCCCAGTTCAGAGAGAGGTCAGAATGCACATTGTAATTTAAACTAATACAATTATTCATTTGGATGTATATGACTTATCTTAATGAAAGAACAACTGTACCTTATTATCATAACCCCCCAAAACGATTAACCCCTACTACTCCATTGTTTATGTTTTCGTTGTCATATGATATGGAACTTTGTAAACAAATGTTTCAGAAGATGTTTTACAAAAAAGTTGTTGCTCTCATGGAATCATTTCTTGAGCACTACAGATATTATCATAGGAATCAAGATGCATTTGCCCCAGTGGAATTGTTTAGCCTATGTGTTTCTTGGTTGCCCGCTCTTTGACAGACAGAGCCTATTTAAACAATGTGGCAACAACGACGACAGAACGTCAGGTATAACCTTAGCAGTATAGTTTTTCTGTAGCTACCATTGGTGGCGTTTCTGTCTGACCTATCAAGATAGCTAGCTAGCTAAATTAGCTAGATTAGATCTGTTGCTGTTATTACAACACTCACCTTCTCAAGACAAGCTGGCGCTGGAAAGCGATTTAGTGAATTGAAACTCCCAACAAATAACCAGTTTTACGCGAAGAGTTATTAAAAGTCCAAAATAACAATAATGGTAATGTTGTTGTATTAACTTGTAAATTGTCATTATTCTTCTTGCGGCATAAATGGAACAAAGTAATCCATGACTCGGCAATCGACACTTTCTTACAAAACACTACTGCCTGAACCGGGTCCTAGCGCCCCATGGCTCACACGCATGTTCAAAACGAATGTTACGCAATCTCGTATATGGCCAGTAGATGATAGTATATACAAAGACATCATACCCGATGGAAAATCATTTGTTACTATTAAATGAATACTAATAACTACATTATTTATGTTGCCATTTGTCATTATTATGTATTTTACTTTATTTGTATTGCTGTGTTATGCTGTATTATAATGTTGTATAATAATGTTGCATAATCACCTTCTTGGTGTAAAAACCATGGAAATTAAAAAAAGTAGGCATTGGTCTGAAGCCGAAAAATAAAGGAAATTCACATGAGCACCACAATGCGTACTCCAGCCACGCTCTACCAAGGTTTACAAGCACAAAGCTTGGAACTACTACAGTGGCTATGTTGGTCTATTGTACTTCAAACAATGTGTAGGCAGGTTGCTTAGGATTCAAACCTTCTTCAGAGGGATAATGAACTTTACAGTGTCCTGCTATTAAAATAATGTATACAGTGCATTCGGAAAGTATTCAGACCCCTTGACTTTTTACACATTTAGTTACGTTACAGCCTTATTCTAAAATGGATTAAAGTAATGTATATCCCCATCAATCTACACACCATACCCCATAATGACAAAGCGAGAACACGTTTTTAGAATTTTTTGCAAATGCATTAAAAACAAAAAACAGAAATACCTTATTTACATAAGTATTCAGACCCTTTGCTATGAGACTCAAAATTGAGCTCAGATGCATCCTGTTTCCATTGATCATCCTTCAGATGTTTCTACAACTTGATTGGAGTACACCTGTGGTAAATTCAATTGATTGGACATGATTTGGAAAGGCACACACCTGTCTATATAAGGTCCCACAGTTGACAGCGCAAGTCAGAGCAAAAATCAAGCCATGAGGTCGAAGGATTGTGCCGAGGCAGAGATATGGGGAAGGTTAGCAAAACATTTCTACAGCATTGAAGGTCCCCAAGAACACAGTGGCCTCCATCATTCTTAAATGGAAGAAGTTTGGAACCACCAAGACTCTTCCTAGAGCTGGCTGCCCGGCCAAACTGAGCAATCGGGGGAGAAGGGCCTTGGTCAGGGAGGTGACCAAGAACCCGATGGTCACTCTGACAGAGCTCCAGAGTTCCTCTGTGGAGGTGCCAGAACCTTCCAGAAAGACAACCATCTCTGCAGCACTCCACCAATCAGGCCTTTATGGTAGTGGCCAGACAGAAGCCACTCCTCAGTAAAAGGCACATGACAGCCCACTTGGGCTTTGCCAAAAGGCACCTAAAGGACTCTCAGACCATGAGAAACAAGATTCTCTAGTCTGATGAAACCAAGTTGCCAAGCGTAACGTCTGGAGAAAACCTGGCACCATCCCTACGGTGAAGCATGGTGCCAGGTGAAGAGGCAACAGCGCCTCTTCAAGCTAAGGAGGCTGAAGAAATTTGGCTTGGCACCGTAAAACCCTCACAAACTTTTACAGATTTACAATTGAGAGCATCCTGTCGGGCTGTATCACCACCTGGTACGGCAACTGCACCGCCCGCAACCGCATGGCTCTCCAGAGGGTGGTGCGGTCTGCCCAATGCATCACCGGGGGCAAACTACCAGCCCTCCAGGACACCTACAGCACCCGATGTCACAGGAAGGCCAAAAAGATAATCAAGGAACACAACCACCCGTGCCACTGCCTGTTCACCCCGCTATCATCCAGAAGGCGAGGTCAGTACAGGTGCCTCAAAGCTGGGACCGAGAGACTATCGCAAGGCCATCAGACTGTTAAATAGTCTTCACTATCACATTAGAGGCTGCTGCCTATATACATAGATTAGAAATCACTGGCCACTTTAATAAATTGAACACTAGTCACTTTAATAATGTTTACATATCTTGCATTACTCATCTCATATGTGTATACTATATTCTATACTATTCTACTGTATCTTAGTCTATGCCGCTCTGATGTTGCTTGTCCATATATTTATTTATATATTCTTAATTCCATTGCTTTACTTAGATTTGTGTGTATTGGGTATATGTTGTGAAATTGTTAGATATTCCTTGTTAGATATTACTGCACTGTCGGAGCTAGAAACACAAGCATTTCGCTACATCCGCAATAACATCTGCTAAACACGTGTATGTGACCAATAATATTTGATTTGATTTGATTTGGTGGTGGCAGCATCATGCTGTGGGGATGTTTTTCAGCGGCAGAGACTGGGAGACTAGTCAGGACTGAGGGAAAGATGAACGGAGCAAAGTACAGAGAGATCCTTAATGAAAACCTGCACCAGAGCACCAGGACCTCAGACTGAGGCGAAGTTTCACGGCCCTAAGCACACAGCCAAGACAACGCAGGAGTGGCTTCGGGACAAGTCTCTGCATGTCCTTGAGTGGCCCAGCCAGAACCCGATCGAACATCTCTGGAGAGACCTGAAAATAGCTGTGCAGTGGCGCGCCCCATCCAACCTCACAGAGCTTGAGAGGATCTGCAGAGAAGAATGGGAGAAACTTGTAGCTTGTAGCGTCATACCCAAGAAGACTCAAGGCTGTAATCGCTGCCAAAGGTGCTTCAACAAAGTACTGAGTAAAGGGTCTGAATACTTATGTAAATGTATATTTCAGTTTTTTTATTTTTAATAAATTAGCAAACATTTCTAAAAACCAGTTTTTGCTTTGTCATTATGGGGTATTGTGTGTAGATCGATGAGGAAAAATAACAATTTAATCCATTTTAGAATAAGGCTGTAACGTAACAAAATGTGGCAAAAGTCAAGGGCTCTGAATTCTTTCTGAATGCACTGTATAGGCCAATATATATTATATATATATACCAAACAAAAATATAAACGCAACATGCAACAATTTCATTGATTTTACTGAGTTACAGTTCATATGAGGAAATCAGTCAATTGAAATAAATTCATTAGGCCCTAATCTACGGATTTCACATGACTGGGAATACAGATATGCATCTGTTGGTCACAGATACCTTAACAAAATGGGCCTCACAATGCTCCTCAGGATCTCGTCACGGTGTTTTTGTGCATTCAAATTACCATCAAAAGGGGCCTACCGAGTGGCGCAGCGGTCTAAGGCACTGCATTTCAGTGCTAGAGGCGTTACTACAGACCCGGGTTAATTCCCGGGCTGTGCCACAACCCGCCGTGGCCGGGAGTCCCATAGGACGGCGCACAATTGGCCCAGCGTTGTCCGGGTTAAGGGAGGGTTTGTCCGGTGGGGCTTTACTTGGCTCATCACGCTCTAGCGACTCCTTGTGGCAGGCCAGGTGCCTGCGGGCTGACCCTGGTCGCTAGTTGTACAGTGTTTCCTCCGACATATTGGTGCGGCTGGCTTCCGGGTTAAGCTGGTGGGTGTTAAGGAGCGCGGTTAGGCGGGTCATGTTTTGGAGGACGCATGACTCCACCTTCGCTTCTCCTGAGCCAGTTGGGGAGTTGCAGCGATGAGACAAGATCGAGAAAAGGGGGGTAAAAAATAAATAATTGTTCGTTGTCCGTAGCTTATGCCTGCCCATAC